CACAGTTGGGCCCAGGCTAGGTGCCACCTGGACTGCGTGAGTTGAGCAGGGGTGTGTGGAGGAGGGTTGAGGGCGGGTTTGGATGTGGCAGCAACCACCTTGGACTTGGCACACAGCACCACGGAGAGCTTCAGGGAGGCCGGGGCACCTCCAACGTTCCCAGCTACTGGAGCCCACTGTAGTTTGAGGCCACTTGGGGGCTCCAGGTTGCACCCCACTTCACACACCAGGGTTGGCCACGATCATCCACAGAATACAGTTCTCATGCCTCATGTCAGGGAGGGGGTGAGGAAAGGGGTTCCCCAAGCATATAACTTTGGGGAACTTGTGGTTAGACATGTTTCTTTACTGTTGGTTTGCTTAACCCTTGCTGTGCTGTGCTGATGTGTTGAGCCGGTCCCCCAGGAGAGCTACTTTTCTCCAAACTCCTTTGATCAGAGAGTATTTCACAGGAGCAAAACAACCTGGTCGACAGAATCTGGATCAAATAGTTGGCATTTGATTAACATTTTCATATTTTAGGTCCTCATGGTGGCTTGGGTGTGTCTAGAAATCTCTGGTGGTGTCTGTTCCCTGCGCTTGTGACACACAGGCTGGGCTGGGAATTCAAGCAAGTCACAGAAGCCTCATTGCTCTGTGCCGCATTCATTCCCCGAACGTGGGCCTCAGCGCCTGGCGAAGGCTGCTTGTCCGGCGACATAACCAGGCACAGCTTGACGGGAGCCGGTTAAGAAAACAGTCTGTGGCTGCTGCGGTGGGTGTGGGGCGCTCCTCCCCGGAATGGGGTGCATCTGAGTTGTCCTTTTGTAACGTCAGCCCTAATTTGCAAACGTAATGGACATCGGTCCTCCTGGAGCCAAACAGAAATGAAGTCTGTGCGACTCTGGTGCTTTGTGTTGTTGGTGGAGAACTGGCCGAAGCTCGTGGCCACCTTTTGGTTTGTGTAGTGGTAGGGTTTGTTACGATCACCAAACCATCCATGATTGGGGTCCCAGAGGGCCTTGACCTCACCAGTCACCATCCTAGTGACATTTCGTTTTGAGGGCACAGCCATGAGCTCAACAGAGGCCCCGCTCTAGAGCGGCCGATCCAGGGGCAGATGCTGTGGAGGGGGGACAGACTCCCCCCGACAAGCTCCAGGCCGCGTATATAAACACACCTGTCCTTTTGCATCAGGTGTTTTACCCTGAGGCTTTCAGCCCCTGGCTTCCTGGTCCCCATTGTTCCCGTGGAGCCTTGCACAGCGTAAGGGCTCAGTAAATACTGATGTGGTTATACGCCAGCCAGTGTTATGTGTGTAAGGACGTGCACAGGGGATTTAGTTCAAACATTTATCAGCTGCGCCTTCATGGTGTGCACAGGCGGATGGGCTGGGGACGCCGTATCGTGGTCTCTCAGCCTCCCTGACAGGTGGCCTCAGCATTACCCGTGCTGGGTGTGAGCCTAGAGCATGCCCGGGCGCACAGGGGGCGAGATGTAGCTCATACTTGGAGCTTCCAGAAGGATATGGTGCCTGGGCCCAAGTGCGTGTAGGCCGCAGAAAAGAGGACGAGAAGGTGCTCCAAGCAGACGTCCAGAGTGTGACAGACACACAGGCCGTGTGGGGGGCAGCGGGGCCGTCAGTGTCGGGATAGTGGTCCGGTGGGGCAGCCTGTGTGAGGGGCCCGCCTCGTCGGGGAGGGCGGCGCTACTTTAAGTGTGCATGTTACACCAGCACTTCCAGCCGCTGGGCAGATGCTGGGCTTCAGGGCGTGAGAGCAGAGGTGGGGAAGGAACGAGGGTCTTCGCCACCACAGCAATGGCCTGCAGCAGGGCTGGACGACCCAGAGCCAGGAGTTGGTGAGGGAGTGTCTGCTAGGGTTCCAGTTCTTCCGGAAGCCGCCTTCACCGCTCCGCCCCCACCGCCCCTCCGTTGCCTCCCTCTGATCCCAGCTGAGCAGCGTGCTCAGTTGCGGTGCAGAGTTGGGCTTCCATCACACGGGACCTCTCCCTGCTAGTGCCTTGACCCTGCCCTGTGGCTTTGTCCTGTCCCAGGGACCCAGCTGGGAGTGGCCCAGCTCTCCCGTATTTGCCTAAATCACTGCAGCCCCTTCTGGGGCCTGCAGAGCAACCAACATAATTCCCAGCACCAGAAAACTCTTCGTCTGCCATCCAGATGGTTCTCTGTTCTAGTCCTCCCTCTGTGGCCTTCCATCTGTTTTCTCCAGCACCCCCTTCCCCTTACCCCTCCCTCCATCCAGTACTTGTTGATGCCAGGTGTTGATCTCAGACCAAGGGGGTAGCGGGGGAACAAGGCGGTCTCTGATCTTCTGGAATTGATGTCCTAGTAGGGGAGACGGAGCACAAACCCACATATACTTAGTGTATCTGCTGGTTGTTCCTCCTGTGAGAGAGAAAGAATCTGTGCTTCATGGAGAGACCATGCAAGCTTCCTTGTACAGAGTCATGTGTTATGTTAAGTCTGCGGTAACTAGGCCTTTCCTCTCAGGCTGGAGGCTGTTAGAGAAAGGGACAGAAACTGAGCTCAGCCTGGCTTAAGCAAAAATCTACATGTGTTGGCTTAACTGAAGAGTCCACAGGGGGTGAGGTTAGCTCTGGGCTGGGCTGGACCCACAGCTTCCAGCAGTTTCTCCAGGATTCAGTATCCTCCTCCATCTCCAACTCTGCTTCCCACTGGATTGACGCCAGTCCAGGGTCCCTTTTGGTGACGTGACACTGCTCACAACCCCAGGGTTTTCTCCCACCAGCTCTGCAGCCCCAGCAGAGACAGAGCACCCCCTTCCCCAGGAGCTCCAACGAAAGTCCTAGACCCATGTCTCATTCACTGTCAGTGGCCTGGCCTTAGTCACATGCCATGGTGTCTCCTAGGGGAACTTCCTCATCCTAGGACCTAGACCCAGGGGCGAGGGAGGGGTGGTTCGCTAAAGAAGTGGGGGGTGGGGGAGCTGGAGGGATGCTGGGCCAGCCCACACTCCCAGCTCCCTCCCGTGTGCCTTAGCTCCTTGCAGCAACGAACGCAGAAGTGAGGTCTAGGCCTGGACGTCCAGCCCTGGGTGCTGGGCTTGTGGGGTAAAAGGCAGGGCCCTAAGATCTCGGTTCCCCCGTAATGGAAATGATATGGATAAGTTCCTGCTGTCCCAGGGCCCCTACAGTCCTCCTCTGCTGGCGTTCATTGCCTGGCATAGACGCATTCTATCTCTCGTTCACCCGGGTTTGTCCAGCAGCACCAACCCCTGTGCCAGGCATGTGGCCGCTTGGGGGGTCGTGGAAGCTTCGTAGGCGACCCTTCCGCCCCGAGTCTCCTCTCTTACACTGCTTTGGTCTCATCCATGTCATCCACCCCAGGATTTGCTGTGGGTTGTGCGTGTTGAGGACGTCACAGTGGATCAGACTTGGGGACTCAGGTGCTGCGTGGAGCACAGCAGAGGGAATGGCCAACGGCAGTGGGCTGCTGCCCCCAAGTCAAGACCAGTGTCTGTTCTGCTTCTCCAAGGAGTGGAAATTCGGCGCAATGGGAGTGGGATGGCGTCCTTTTGATCTTCTCAGTCTTGTCCCTTTTCCTCCTCTGACCTCCTCTCCTCCCCATCTTTAGTGTGGGTGATCGGCCTTCCCTCCTAACTAGTGTCTCCGGATAGCCTCCTTCCCACACTGTTCTTTGAACCTGAACCCAACTCGTTTTATAGCACTTTCCTGTATCCTTAGTGGGGAGATCATCTGCCCCCAGGGCTCCCTGGGGCTCCCTGTCACTTTACAACCTGTATTTTCACACCTGCCCCTCTGGCCTCTTCTCTTTGGACCTCAGCACAGCCAGCTCTTTTCAGGGAAGTTCTCCTGACTCTAGACCAGCCGCTCTGACCGGCTCCCCACAGGAGTGCGCTCTCCAACCAGAGATTGTGTTCCCTCCCCCGTAGCCGTCCTGCTGGGTAAAGTGCTGGAAGTGCGGGTTCCTGGTTATCTTGGCTTCCCAGGAACGAGGGCTCCACAACAGCAGGGCTGTGCGATGCTCCCTCATATTCGTGATCCCCCTCGCTTCCCATTCACTGTCTGCTCTAGGGGCTTTGAATGCTGAAGGGGGCCCTGGGCGCTCCCGGAGCTGCCAAACCCAACCCCAGGCCAGGAGTCGGGCAGCATTCAGGCCTCGCCCCTGCGGAGGAGGGTGAAGGCCTTCCACATCCGCAGGATCTACAGTCCCCACCCAGCAGGCGGCAGGGACTCGAGCCGCCATCCACGCAAGCCCAGGTGCAGAGGGCTGCGGATTCAGCTGCGCCCAGATAGAGACTTGGCGCTGCCTGAGAACAACAGGTCTCACGCGTGTGAACATCCCCAAGGGTGTCGTCCTTCCTCAGCAACTGTGCAATGTGGGCTCCCGGGATTTTCGCAACTCCTTAAATTCTTTTTTCTTTAAATGGGCAGTCGCTTAGAGATCAGGTGGAATGTCAGACCACTCAACCAGGGTAAGCTCTCCCAGAGCCTGAGCTGTGTGGACAGAGGTTGCAGTCTGGTTATCCCCAGCCCCCACGGGCCTATAAATTAAAAAAAAAAAAAAAAAACTAAACTAGTCTTCAGCATTTGAAATTCAGGAGATGCCACGTAAAGATCGGACATCTCTGTGCCACGTTCCTGCAAGGTTGATGGCCCTGAACAGCAGGCAGCGCCTTCAGTACCCTGCCGCGTGCCACGCTCCCCACCACTCTCTCTCCATCACTGACGTGCCTGTTCTGAGGGGGTCGTGAAGCCTTTTTTTTTTTTTTTTTTTTTTTGCGTATAATATGCGCCCAGAGAAGTGCACGTACCCTAACATTAAGTGCTGGATTTTCACAAACAACACGCCCATGCAACTACTTCAAGAAACCGTTTTCTAAGTGATTTTGACGTTCTTTGGAGTTACTAGTTTTATATCGGGTTTGCTTTTTGCTTTTAACTTACTACAAACAAATGTAGCTTTGTTTACTGTATGAATATAGTGTTGGGGGGAAAAAAACCAATTTTTCTCTTTGCAGAAAAACCTGCCATTGCTCCGCCTGTCTTTGTGTTTCAGAAGGATAAAGGACAAAAGGTAAGGGGCCAAGGGGCCGGTATGTTCTCTCCCCACGTGATTACTCTGATTGGTTTTCTCCCAGAGGTCTCTCCCAGGTCACACGGCCAAGGGTGCTTCTGGCTTTTAAGCCTTCACATTGAGCTTGAAGGGAAAAGGTCCTGTGGCTTTAAGTTATCCTGGTGAGAGGTTCAGACGGGCATGTGTGGAAAGGGCTCAGAAACCTTGCTACAAATAGTGGTAGGAAGCTGCTTTCTAATTCTTAATGGTTCATTTTAGAAATGCTTCTGTACATTCAGAAGAGTAGGAGAGAAAAAGAAGGAAGGAGGAGGGGTGAGGAAAGGAGGAAGGAAGGAGAGAGAGTAATGGCGGTTCAAGGGGAAGACAAGACCTTTACAGATTTTAGGGAGATATTTGGGTCCCCACCCAACTTGGCAGAAATGCATTTAGAATGGTCAGCTGCTATGTGGCTTGCGTCATGTATTTACCACCCACCTTTGTTACTTGTGGCTTCCTGCTCTTGGGTTTCAAATGTGTTGGTTGCACTGATGTTGGAACTCCCTTACCTGCCCCAGCAATGAGGTAGCAGCTCGTTAAAGGCCTTATTGGTGGGGAGGTAGCGTTCCGATGTCGCATGCTGCTGTTTACCTAGAAGTCATTGATTTTATGTCTGTCCCTGACCAGTCAGTCTGGAAGGTTGGGGTTGTGTCCAGAGTTCTGTGGTGATGCTTCCCGAGCTTATATGAGGACTCTGCTTGGCCAAAAAAATGGTTGGTCCCTTCCACCCTCCTTTACCCCTAGGACAGCAGATGTAATTTAATACCCACTGCAAGATTTCAGAGTGACCAAAGTGCTGGATTTGGTGTGTTTTACATCTGTTTGCCTCTTTCTTTTATTTTTTTTTTTTTTAAGAGAGCGCAAAGCGCACCCAAGGGAGGGACAGGGGGAGAGAAAGAATCCCTAGCTGATTTCACGACATGGGGCTCCATCTCTTGACTATGAGATCATGACCTGAGCTGAAATCAACAGTTGGGCGCCCAACAGAGCCACCCTGACGCCCCAAATCCGTTTACGTCTTGTTGATAAGAACAGCATTTGAGAGGATCTCTCCCTCTGAAGGCCTGTGACCCACAGGCACGGTGGTCTGCCGGAAGCCCGGTCCCCGGCGGCGTGGCCAGCCCTGAAGTCCGGGACCGCTCCTGGTGATTTGGGACCCCACAGCCCAGCTACTGCTCCCAGCCCCTGTCCCTTGGGCTGAGATGAGAGGCCAGACTCCTGTGTGGCCCAGGTTTTCCTGGACCTTGTTCAAGTGCTGTGCGAGGAAGAGAATGTGTGCGCGCGCAGGGGGCAGGAGGGAGAAGTGTCCGCCCCAACCCCCCCTACGCCCCCTTGCAGGATACCTCCTTGCGAGCCGGGGCTCATGTGCTAGACTTGCTCTCATATTAAATTTTCTCATTGTTCATTCTTTTGCTAAGGAGAGAATCATAACACCAAGAAACATTCTTCCTGATTTGTCTCAGCTTTCCAGGTGCTATTTTCAAGACATATCGGCCTCTGGGGTCTCCTCCCCCTGGTCCTTGACCAGAACATGCAGCTTAAGTACATGTATTTCTACCATTTGTCTTTCTTGGAGGCTCACTCATGGAGAAGGGCAATGTGTGTGTTCAGTGTCTGTTTTAGATGTGAAAGTTGCTTCTCAGGCTTTCTCTAAAATGAGGGTCTTCTAGAATTTTGAATGTTACTGTGAGCTTTTGAACCACCTTGAAACCGGTCAGCAAACTAAGACCTGCCACCACCGCCTGTTTTTTGTAAATAAAGTTTTATTGGCACACAGCCATGCCCACCCTGTTACCAGTAGCCAAGGCTGCTTTCCAGCTGTGACAGCAGAGCGAGGCAATTTGGGCAGAGACATATGGCCCACAAAGTCCAAAATACTTAATAGCTGACCCTTTACAGAAAAAGTTGGCTGACCCCAGATTTAAAACATGTATTAGGAATTAATAATTTCAGCCTGAAGACTTGGGCAGCCAGCAGGAAGAAAGACTAAAATGTAATATTTGTCCGGCTGAATTTAACATATTTTTTAAATCGCTAACTCCCATTTCAGTACTGTTTTCACAGCCAAAGTGCTTCTTGCCTGTCGCCTTGTCATTCAGAGGCTAACTTCACGTACTACCCCCAGAAGGTCAGGGCGAGGTTGGATCAGAAGAGTAGCTAGGAAACTGTTCACCGTCATGTTAAAAATGTGCAAATGCAGTTCTTATCAAAACATTGACTCTGAGCCAACTCTAAATGGGCTTCTAAAAATAACCGCTCTCTGGCTCCTCCGAGCTCAGCCAGGCCCAGGGGATGCGGGACGCAGGACGTCTCGGCATGTTTACAAAAGAGGGGCTTCTGTAACCGTCCCAGAGGGCAGCTCTCTGCGCTGTCAGGTGGATAGTGGCCTGGTGGAGATGGAATCTTCCCTTCTTTCTCTGCTGCTCATGACGGCTCAGAAGCGGGGCAGAGCTGCAGGGAGCAGCCGTGGCCCTTCTGAGAGCTCAAGCCTCGTTTAGTTCCTGTCTCCCAGGCCGAGGTTCCGGCCCGGCTGTTCCCCATGCTGCCCACGCAGACCTGGGAACGGGCCGCACGGGCTGCTCTGGGTTTTGTCTCTTCTTTCCTGTCCACCTCCGTATTTTTAAAATATTCAGGTCCTCAGAAGAGTTAGAAGACTGGGACGCCAGGGTGTCCTTCGCCTGGCTTCCCCACGGACATCTTTGTTGTAAATGCCGGAAGCACTCAGCTCCAGGTGGTGCCCACCTGCTGTTGCCCCCCAAGCCCTCCTGCAGGCATCCCCTGGGAATGCGCCGGCCCTCTCCATGGTCCCAGTGCTGTGGTCACTCCTAAGAAAACGATGGTTATTTCAGATATAGCCTTCAATATATAGGCCACGTGTATGCTGTCCTAATCATCAGCAAAATGTCCCTTACATTTTGGAGCCATTTCTTGACCCACAAAGACCAAGAAGTCCCACCATCAAGTGGGGACCACTGACTTCCCTTTCAGTAAACCGTCCCAAAACCACCCAACCGGCTGCCCGCCCCTCAGAGAACTCGTGTGTCCCTCCCCGCTGCCCAGGAGAGCGCGCCACAGGCCTAGCTGTTCTCTGAATCATGATTGAGGCAAAAGATTTGAAATCAAAAAGAGAAGAAATGAAGTTGTGGCCCAGAAGGGTGTTTTGGTTTTGTCCAGTGGCAAAGCTGCGTGCGTCCTGTCGGTCCTGCCCACGATCTACGCTGCATGAACAGCGGGCTACGAACCAGTGGCGGTGGCTGCCAGTGGCATCGCCTGGTGTCCTCAAGGTTGTCGGGTCCCCCGTTGTTCCGTGTTAGAGAAAGTGCTTGACAGTTAGAACTCCTAAAGCCTAAAATCCAGCTGGACCCAGACCCAGAGCCCGACTGACAGCCCAGAATCTTCCCTCCTTCCTTCATGCTCCCATGCTTCCTCAAGAGGGCGCTCCTCGAGAACCGCTTGCCTTCACGCTTTTCTGTCTTTAGCAGCATTTCTGTTTCTTAACTGCCTTGAATGGAGACCAGTTTTTTTTTTCTTTTCGATGTGAAGAGATTTTTGAACCTCCTTAGAAGCAGTGTGTTTCATTGATTGTGACGACTGCTGTTTCTTTCAGACACTTTGTCTTCCAAGTGTGTTACTCTGCAGGGGTAAGGCTTTGCGGGGGTTGCACTCGACGGGAGGGCAACGTCTGCTTGGTGCAAAGACAGAGCAGTTGCAGAGATGCGGATGGGCAGGCAGGAAGGAGGGGCTCACTGAGAACGCCACCACAGTATGTTTAGACCCAGTTTCAAAGCATACTCTGCTGACGTAACAAGCTTCTCCTGTGCGTGCGCATGTGCATTTTGTTTTTTTGTCCGCCATGTTTATTTCAGGATGATGTCACAGGCTCCAAAAATCTTGATGCCTGAATTTCACAAATATGTTGAAAAACTGCAGGCCCTGCCTTGGTTCTCTAGAGCTCCCTTTTCCTGTCCAGCAAAAACACTCAGACCGAAGTAGAAAACACTAGAATGGCCTATGTGTTTCTTTTTGGTCCTCCAGCTTAGGCGTCATTCAAGTTCAGTGCCACAAGGGCATTTGAACATGTGTGCTCTAGAAACAGGGGTTAAAAAAAGAAAGTCCCAAGTGGTTCCAATTAGAGATAGGCCATTTCCCACAGAGCTCATGGCTTAATTTTCTCTTATCGGGTGTTTAATCTACAGTCGTAAAGTAGCAGCCAGCTGGTGCATGGACAGCCTCTGGGTCTTGAGTGGGCTTAGGAAACAGCTTGAGAAGAAAGGCCTTCGTGTCTGTGCTTCTCCCCTTTCTGGGAAGAATCGATTTTGCTGACTTGTTAGATTTATGGATGAGTTCACGTTGTGTTGCTTTTGCCTTACTCAGAATGTTCAAAAGTTCTCTTAAGTCCTCTTTATGGAGTTCCTTTGATCCAACAGACTCACATCTTAAGGAATAGCCCCCAGGCCCTATCTAAAGAGGTTTTAGTCCCTCAACACTCAGAAAAAGCGTGGCCAGGTCTGTGGAAGGACAGGATAGCCACTTAGTTCACAGAGTGAGAGAAACGGCTCCATGTTGGGGACAGTGCCAGGCGGGAGATTTGAGGACCAGAGCCCATCTGTTCTAGGGACACCGGCTTTGTAACCCATTCCTCCAGAAAGGATTCTTGGCCCCAGAGCTCCTGGTCCCTTGGAGCCCCTCCAGAATGCCAGGAACCACCTCGAAGGATGCCAGGGGTAATGTGCTTTGAAGGACAAAAATTTCCAGAACCAGCTTTCTCTTACCTTGGCTGTTTTCTAAATGCACCCTTGCCAAGGTGTTTAGGGTGAACGTGGGAGAATCCTAAGCCAAGGGTCTCCCTCCTCCAGCTGAACTCCGCCCATCTGATAGAAATGCAGCTCTCCGTGTCTCTGCCAGCTGGTTTGGTCACCCCACATCTGCACTCACAGAGGCGAGAAAGCCTCCTTTATCTCAGGTTTAAGCAGAACGAATTGAAAGGTGCTAGAAGCACTGTAGACCCTGTACACCCCAATTTGCAGGCTGTTCCAGGCCTGCCTCCCCCACTTTTCTTCATGGACAGAAATGGCGCTGAGGGCCATCTCCCCTCATCAGTGTCCTTGCAGAGGTGGGTCCTCGACCCCTAGGAACAGATTGACATAATTGCCCCCGTTCCCCTCCAGCAGAGGCCCTGCCCCCATCTTGGTCACCAGGATGTCATTCCTTACTCACAGCCCACAAGCATGGTAGCTCCAAGCTGCAGGTTTTGGAAATGGGAGCCCAGGCCTCCCGCAGTCCTCAAAGCTCCCCGCAAAGTTAAACAGCAGCCAAGTCCACGTTCATTTTCCATTCTTTCATTCTGGAGGGCCTCTTTCGTTGGGCAAAACACAATAGCATGTGCCAGGCTTCTTGTCTCACCCTCCCGGGCAGGGGCTGCTGAGGTCTGAACTCTCTAGCCCTTCGATCCCCTCCCACCCCTTGCCCTGTGTTGCAGCCTTTATTTACATTGAAGGAAAATTGTCTTTTTTGCTCCCAGTCCTCTGCAGAGCAAAAAGACTTGTCGGATTCGGGAGAGGAGCCTCGGGGGGAGGCTGAGGCCCCCCACCATGGCACGGGTCACCCCGAGTCAGCTGGTGAGCATGCCCTAGAGCCTCCTGCCCCCGCTAGCGCTTCAGCCAGCACTCCTGAAGCCCAGCTTCTTCCTTTCCCGCGAGAACTGGCAGGGGTAAGTCCGCCTCCACCCAGCACTCCACGGCCTGGGGGTCCCAGCCCAGACCGGCCCCTTTCCCTTTGGGTTCCTCAGATTAGACCCTAAACCACAAGCAGCTGATCGTAACTGAAAAGATGATCATGATCTCTGCAGCTCCCTTTAATTCTTGCTGCCAAAAAGTCAGGAAAGATTGAGACCCCTTTTCCGTTGAGACTTTCAAAATGGGGGAATATATATACACTCCTAGCAAGAAGCAAATCCTGTTTCCTGAAAGAGACATGAGGGGTCAAAAGAGGGATTGAGTAATGGGGTAGAACCTTCCAAATCAAATTCGACCCCCTCTCCGTCCTCCCGTTTTTTTCTCCTCTCCCTGAATGTGGGCATTCAAGATCAGGGTCTTAGAAACACCAGTAGCCCCAGCTTCCTTGATCTAGAGGAAGAGGAGGTATCTAAGGCAGACTGCTTTGCAAGACCGATTGTGTTTGGACTGTGGTTAGGCTGTGAACTGCTTGTCTTCAATCAAAGCAGGAAGAAGAAAAGACTCTTCCTTTGAATCCAGAGGGACCCCCTTGAGCCCTTTATCTTTGTATTGAGAAGGCTTTTGAAGATTATAGGTGGAGAAGATTGTGAACTTTCGAGAACAAGAAATGTCTTGAGTGTTTGGAGGTTGATAAAATGGGAAAGGTAAACATCACCCTACATTCAGGATTGAAAACTCCATGTGGGTACCTAAGCCCCCCATGCTCGTGGCAGAAGGAAACAAGGGGCCCTGCTGTGCACAACAAACACCAAGCAGCCTTCCAGGGTGTCACAGTCCCAGACTTTTAGCGATCCCTTGTGTCACCAGTGCTCTTAAGGAAATCATGCAAATTTGGTTACAGCCACCAAACCCTGGGACACACAGGACAAAGTGATGTTCAGCAAAGGTGAGGTTGGAGGCCGATTTGAACATTTTGGAGGCGTCAGTGTGTGGTGGAAAAAGAAGAGACTGTCTGCCTTGTGTCGGGCAGGAGTGGCGGGGGCAGTTCCTCACAGCGCACAAGTGGGTTTGGGCCCAGTAAAGACTCCATCCGGGAGGCACCCTCCCCGAAGTGTTCCAGGGGCGCAGCCCTCACAGGCGAGCACAGAGCTGACAGAGCAAGAATTAGGAGGTGATCACTTTTCCGGTTTGGGGCCCAGCAGCTCCTGGAACCTTCTCCTGAGCAGGTATTATGAGTTATTGTGCCTTTGGCCTTCGCAAGCACAGGAAATTATGTTCTTGGTTCCCTGAGAACAGATGACCTTCATGTGGATCTGCCCAAGAAGCTCTGGGGCCCTTTGCTGCTGCCTGGCTTGAACAGCATAGCTCACAGAGCTGCCTGTCACCTAAGGGGCTGAGGGTTTTCAGTTGAGAGTAGCAAACAGTTAGGTCACAGAGGTGGGGTCACAGCAGCTGTTCCTCCAGAGGCTCACAGGCTGGTGTGAGCCCTTATCTAATGCCCATCTGGTGAGACTAGGGGCGGGGGGCGGGGTGCTCACCTCCTGCCTGTGGCGGAGCCAGATGTGGATTTCTACAGCCTGGCCGATGGGACTGGACTTCTCAATTCTTGTGGACTTTGGGTCAGAGGCTCTAATCTCAAGAAATTCAAACCATCCCCAGCCTAGCCATGCATGGTCAAGTGTTAACAGTAGGAAACCTCAAGACAGGTTGTGGGTCACTGTGGGAGGAAGTCAGGACCAGGGGGAGCAGTAGATGAGCATAGCAGCGACGGCCATGCATATGACGCACACGTCTGCTGTGTGGCCTTAGCGTTTGTAACTGTGGGAGTCCCCGGTCCCCTCAGAAGTTCCTTCAGTGCCACCTTCACATCATTTGGTGATGGCTCTGAGCCCACCAGGGCTCACTCCTTTGGGTTCGCAGCACAGAAAACTCTGGCTTGTTGCCAGTGGTTCCCATTAACTGGCTTTCTCTAGTGACTGGGCATGTTCAAGGCAGAGTAAACTTTTTCTAGGTCAATTAGGGCATAAATCAAAGCAGATGGAACGGGATCCCAGCTTCCTCCCAGGCTGAGATGTCCCTCCGGTTAGCCAGGACTAGTTGCTCTGACATCGGAACAGATTTGGATCGTGCCCTGTACCACACTGGAATTCAGGAAAGCACCCACCCCGACCTAGCCCATCTCGTCCATCACGTTTAGTCTGTTCTTTATTGCATGATCTCTTGAGGAATTGTAAAGCAGAAAGTTCTTTATAATAAATAGCAGCTCACTAAATTGTTGCTTAGAAAGGGCCTGCTCATCTTTCAGTCTCCCCGGACTCTGGCCATCTAAGACTCAGTACCGGGAACAAGCCTCTATATATCAGACTTCCTGGCTCTCAGAAGACAGCTTGGAGAAGACCAAACCACATCCAGATTAGGTTCTCTGATCCAGAGAAAGCAGGCAGCTCTTAGTGCTGACCCTGAGTCTGGCGTAAGTCTCCTGGATTGACGCCGGAGCCAAGGCCCCACTGAGCCCGAAATGTGTTTATTAGACCCACCAGGAAGCTTAGGTCCTGGAACCAGACCCCTGGCTGGACAGCTTCTCTCCTCTTCCAGGTTCTACATGGGATTTGACCCTCATTCCACCCCCGCCCGACATTCAGACCTTGGGAGGCCACGGTTCTTTGTCTTTCTTCAGTGTCTGCCTTTTTGGTGAGAAGTTCTGAGCTGGGCACCCCAGGTGCAGAGTAAACAGCACTGGATCAGCCTGTAGGCCCTTTGACGACAAGGACTGTCAGCAGGCCCCTCCCTTGATTGATTTTTCATCCCGGGCGTCCATTTTCCTGCAGCCACAGCCAGCCAGGCTTTCTAAGCGATCAGTCCACACTGGAGTCGCTGAGGCCCAGGCAAGCCAAATGGTGTCTGGCATAGTCTTGTTTTCTGGCCTTTTCTGGGAAGTCAGGAGGCAGGGCTGTTCACTCCTGCTTCCTCTCCCTGTGTGTCAGCCTCTGAGACACAGCGGCCGCTCCATTCCTTCCCCTTGCACTGGCCTAGCACCTTTGTCCTTCTTGAGGCCACACCAGGCAGCCTCAGGAGGGCCATGTGTCTTTAGGGCCTGCTGGGGGGGGGGGGGGCGAAGGGGCGGACGGTCCTTGATAAACACAATGGTCATAAATCTTCCTTGTTTCATCCGTTACAAAGAACTGAAGCTTCCCGTATCTGTAGTCCAGGGTCCCAGTCCACCTGTTCTGTCCTTGCCGACAGGGACGTGCACACCTCACAGAATGAGCAGCTCCCCCGCAGGTTCCCATGGCTCTGAGAAGCGAGAGCTGCCACCCCTGTGACCCTTCCCACCGGTCCACAGCGGCTGCCTCCTCTGTAAGCCCGCTCTGCTTGTTCACACTTCCTGACACCAGGGAAACAAACTGAAGGATTCTCTTTGGGCTTCTTTCTTTTCTGCCTCCTCATGTAAGTGTTGATTTGGGATATGTCCGGCACGGTCTCCCACACAGACGCTGACCCCAGTGTCCCCTGAGTATCCTCCCGAAACCCACATCCTCACAGAGGTGGGTTGTGGTGTGGGAGGAGGCAGAGGAGGAAATGGGCCTTTCATACCTGCTGCTGCCCTGGCCCCTCCCCACAGATGATCCTGGGAGTCTGCTCTTAGTGTCCCCGTGGCCGTGGCTCCGTGACCTCTGGGGCCCAAGGAGCGGTAGCTATAAGACCCGACCCCGTTCGTGCCCCAGGCGTTGTTCTCAGCTGAGCCCGACCAGCCTCTCCTTTGGTTGGGGTGAGGGGTTGCCCCTGGCTGCCAGGCTGCTGTGTTGGTAAAAAGTGTACGTGGAGACTGCGTTGGCCCCATTTTGGGCCGAGGCTGGCTTGATGGGAAGATGCTTTGCTCCAGACCTTCCCTTGTTTGGGGAGAAGACAGCATGAGACAGCAGACAGCAAGAGCAGACCTGCAGCGCAGCTGCGGGGAGTGGGGGCAGGCATCAGGCTTCTCCTCACACGGGCAGCCGATGAGGATTTCTGGAAGAGTAGATGTATCCAAAGGCAAGGCGAAATTACTTCCTTATACATTGGCTTGTTTCTTCATGCTGGTTCCTACTGAGGAGAGTTGCTGGCAGCAGTTTCCTTACTGCTTCTGAGTTGGCTAGTTCAGATCCCATAGGAGGTTCCAGCAGCTTCTGGAAGGTTCTTCCTACTGGGGGAATCTCCTGTGTTGTCTTCCCCTGGCCTTGGCCTCGCAGCTTTTCCAAGACCAAGAGGCCAGTCACATGCCTCTTAGATTTGAGGTATGGGTTTGAGGGTCTAGACATATCTGAATCTTGTCTGGCCAGGCACCTTCTCTTCTCCAGGTCACCGAAGGGGCTGTGACGCACTCAGGTTCCATTTGTGCAACGAGTACACGCCGAGCGTCTTTTTTTTTTTTAATTTATTTCTGAGAGAGAGAGAGGGAGAGAGAGACAGCGTGAGCAGGGGAGGATCAGAGAGAGAGGGAGACATAGGATCCGAAGCAGGCTCCAGGCTCTGAGCTAGCTGAGAGCACAGAGCCCGACGTGGGGCTCGAACCCACAAACCATGAGATCATGACCTGAGCCGAAGTCAGACACTCAACTGACCGAGCCACCCAGGCGCCCCACGCCGAACATCTTTTGTGCACAGCATCCCGGGTGTTGGTGCTGAGCTGTGGGGAGAACAGCCAGACGGACACGTTAGATCCCTTCCAGTTAAGGCGCGACAGGCTGTGGGTGGGGTGGAGAGGAGCAGCTTCCGCTCGCTGGGCGGTGGGAGAGTGAGCGAGCTCGGCTTCCCCCGGAGGAGGGTTCCCCCTGGAGGAGGCCACGTTGAGCGAGCGGAGCTGCGGGAACTCGTCCCAGGCCTTGGGGGCGGCACACACAGAAGGATCCCTGAGGTGAGAACAGTATTGGCAGATAGAGAAAACGGGAAGGAGACTGGGAACCTGCAGTGTGATGGCAAGGAGGGGTTGTAGGGGGTGGTCAGATGGGGACCCGGAGGCCTCAGCACCTGGTCTGGGCACACTTCTGGGGGGTTCCTAGCACCCATCATGTTCTCCAATTCCTGAGAGGTTTGGGGTGTTTGTGGCATAGGTTAAAAAAAAAAAAAAAAATACACAAAGCAAAAACTGACAGAATTGAAGGGAGAATTCGATTCGGTCATGTTGGAGAGCCCGCACCCCAGCTGAGTAGCCCACGGGGCCCCGGGAGGGCTCAGACAGCACTCAACCTGGCTGGCCTGACAGGCTGCCTACCCCAGAGAACATTCCAGAAGGTGCTGTGCTCCAGAGTACCAGGATGCCCTCCGGGACAGACCACCTTGTTGTGCCAAAAACAAGGGTCGATAAGCTGGAGACGACTGAAATCACACAGTCTTCTAGCACGGTGGAGTGAAAGCAGAAATCTGTAGATTTCCGGAAATCCGCATGCGGGGAAATGAGACTAGCTAACTAGCGGGGCAGATGGAGGTGAGGTGCACAGGCCTCTGGGCCTTCAGCTGCTGGAGGAACACCCTTTGCAGCCACTGAGGAAACAGGAAGCTGGGGCGTGACAAGCCATCTGGACTGCTGACCAGGCCAGGGGCCACTCTTCTTTTTTTTTTTTTTTTTTTTTTTTTTTAATGTTTTATTTATTTCTGAATGAGAGAGAGGCAGCGCGAGCAGGGGAGGGTCAGAGAGAGAGACACAAAGTTTGAAACAAGCTCCAGGCTCTGAGCTAGCTGTCAGCACAGAGCCCAACGCAAGGCTCGAACCCATAAACCGTGAGATCATGACCTGAGCCGAAGTCAGACGCTCGACTGACTGAGCCACCCAGGCGCCCCCAGGGGCCACTCTTCTGCATATGACACAGGGGCCCATGCCATAGGGTCTTCTCTGGGACCCGCAGGCACCTGTGACTTGTGTCCCTTCACTGAACAGATGCCCAGTGAGCTCCTGCTATGTGCTGAGCGCCAGCGCCCTCCTGGGACTCAAGCTGGTGGGGACCCTGACACAGATGGCACAGTCAGCGTGAGAGGTGCAGAGGAGTGCGGGGGGCAGTGAGGCCGCAGGACCGGGGCAGGCATGAGGGGGCTGTCAGGTGAGGGGCCAGGGAGCAAGGCCAGAGTTTCCAGATCCCAGAAGTTGCTCTGTGGAAGTGACAGATCCCACAGGATCTGAGAGGCTGCCGCATGTGGGTCAGTCTAGCCAGGATGCTTAGCGAAGGACAGGAGAGAAGCGCCAGGAGCCACGGGACCAGACCTGGGAGTGGGCCAGCCGCTGCGAAGGGTAGGACAGAGGTGCCTGGAGTCTGCCCCTCAGTGATGTCACCCGAGGAAGGGGAGGGTCCCAGGAGAGAAGGCCCACTGTGCCGCGTTGTCACATGGCACCCCAGTGCTTCGTCCTGGGCCCCGGGGCCATCTTCTTAACTCCCCAACCCTGTCCCCCTCCCTGACCCCTCATTGGGCTGCCCCCGGGACATGACTTCACATCTGGACCTTTGTCACACAAGGGTATAACTTCCAGTGGAAGTGAGCCTGCTGGAGAGCCCACCTTGGCCGGGTGTCAGGTCAAGCTGAGTGCCACTTCACCCCTTCAGTCCCTTGCGGCGCCAGTCCTGGCGCCCCCGTCTGCCAAGCAAGGAAGCAGAAGCCTGGGCAAGTGGAACAGTTTGCCCGAGGTGTGCCTTTAGGAAGTGTCACAGCTGGGAGAAGGTCCATCCTGCGGGCCTTCCAGAGAGGTCGAGTACCTTCAGGCTCTGTTCTCATGCTCCTGCTGCCCGTTTGTGCCCCTCGGGAGCCCGCCGGACTCCTCCAGCATTCCATTCCGTTTGGGACCCTGTATTGCGCTCACAGCTGCCCTGCAGACTGTCGAGCCTGTTGTGTGATGAGGGGTTTGTTTACTAAGCACTCTGATGGGTGGCCTTCTCTGAGCCCTGCGCACGTGGGGACGGCGGTCATCCTGGCCCTTCACAGAGGCTCGCAGCCAGCACTTAGAAGTCCAGGCTTGCGTCTCTGACTCCAACCCATGTTGTGGGCTCACACAGGAGGACAGAGCACAGGCTGGGATCCTCTTCTCTCTCTGTCTCTTAGGATGGGGTCCACAAACTCCGGGCCTCCGTCTAAAAGCTAAGATGGCGGAATATACACATGGTGCAAGATGCTGAAAGTCCTTTGTGGCCCTTTACGGGGAATGTGGCGCCCAGGGCTCCAGCCAGTGCTCGCAGCCCATTATTTACGTAACTTAGGGCAGTTACTGTGTTTCCCTGCCCTGTGCGCAGAGCACTTTCCCAGGCATGCGTCATCTAATCCCTAACAGCTCCTCCAGGCAGGTGGTCTTCCTTTGGCTGAACTTGACCCCTAGGGGCTTTTCTGAAAATAAGAACATTGGCTCCTCTGCTCGCTCCCACGTTCAGTACCCCGGGAGGAGTGACATGTACTCATCAGCGTTTGCTTCTGGCTGCTGCTTTCGGAAGAGTCACACATCTGTGAGAAGGGCTATCCGCGAGGGGATGGAAATTATCTGGGGTTGGGAGCTCATCCCAAGGCTCCCGGATGGCTAGTTGTGAACATTCTAAGACTAAAGGTTGTTAAGGATGAAATTTTTCAGCCACTTTCTGTCCTCACTGGTGATTCTTTGGTAGGTTGTTCTGAACGTTCTGCATCGGGCTCAGGTCCCAGGCATCACAGTGCTCTGTCACTCTGGAAATAATAGCGCACCTTAAAACAGTGTTCCACACCATGCAGCAGGCCAGGGCGGGTAATGGGGGCTGCTGTGATCCCGTGTTAGGCGACCATTTTAACCAGTCCGGCGGCCCCAGAGTGGAGCAGGTCGCTTGCCAGCTCTTGGCAAAGTGAATTCAGCCACTGTGCTTGACTTGGAGGGTGGCATGCGCTTAGCTGTGACCTGTGGAGAGACAAACCGATCTTTGTGCAATAAACGTATTCTCAGCCGTTAGGAGGACCCCTTGGCCCATGGCCTGGTGAGGCACACACAGAAGGTTCTTGGCAGGATTTTTGAGCCTAACGTTAGGTTGAAAGTCAGTCAGTGACTTGGGTGCCTGAGCTCCGGGAGTTGGCCCTCAGCGCCATGTTTCAGGATGCGCTCACTGCGGGACTCCCAGGCCGCCGGGTGCAGGGCAGCCTGGCTCTCTCTGACTGCCCTGCCGTGTGCTCTCGTTTCAGAGGCCAACTGGAGGCTCCAGCCCCGAAGGTGGAGAAGGTGAGGAAATCTCTAGAACGTCTCATCCTCTTTGGTTCTAAAAGTGAAAGCAACCTGACTTTCTCCTCCCCCTGTTCCTCCTCCTCCTCCTCCTCCTCATTTTCTGTAGATTCCGACCGAGAAGATGGAAATTACTGCCCTCCTGTCAAGCGAGAAAGAACGTCCTCTTTAACCCAGTTCCCACCGTCACAGTCAGGTAACCGTTGCAGACCCTTCCTGAGCAGCAAGAGCGTCCCGGCTCCCCTCTGGCGTCTCCCGCACAGCCCACATCCACTGAGAATCCATCTGAGGCTCAGTGTCTGTCAGGAATGAGGCTGGAGGTGTCCCTACTCCGGAATCAGTGACACGGAGGCTTGTGACCTAGTGGGACTGAAAGAAGACACACCAAGAAATAGTCCCTCTAAAAGAGAGGGAAAGGGCCGTAGGTCCTGTCAGGGGCTACGTTAACCCCGACTAATAGTTAATTAACATTAATTGTAGTTATTACAGTTATTACAAAGGATCCTCCTGACCCTTTGCCATGTGCCTAGATCTTGGCAGTCTGGCCGAGAAGCCCAGACACACACACGGTACATAACGAACCAAGTGGCCCCAGAAGACACCTTGGTGATGGAATGCCATGAGCCCCCAAAGGAGGAGGGTTTGGTGGGCCCTTGAAGGGGGGGTCAGACCAGGACCCGGCACAGTGGTGGGTGGGCCCCAGGGCTTGTACGGGGACCGGTGCAAGAAAGAGGGCGTTCCCTAGGGTAGAGAGAGATGCTGGGGTGACCTGGTGGGAGGTTCTGTGAGCCTGGGGACAGCCCTGCAGATTCAAGGGTAAATGCAGTCTCCGGGCTGGCCCCTCCTCCCCCATCTTGACTTGTCCCCCTGGCGTCGTCATGTTCTCAGTCTTGATGCCCTGGTGCAGACGCAGAGATGCATGCGCTTTCAGAGACGACCTCCTGTTACGTAACTTGGCTTCCCTTCTTGGGAGGCCTGTGTAAAGCACTTGATGACTGTGACGCCTAAGGATGTCACGCTAAGAGAAAAGGACGCTCTGGAAGGTGGTGTCTGCCCACGGGACTAGCAGGCATTGCAGGAAGTGTGACGTAGGAGTGTCCTGTGAAGTTCCTCCCTGAAACACACTGGATTTCCTACCTGTTTCCCGTAACACACATATTGCGGACTTTGCCACACCCTTTCTCGTGAGTGCTCAAGGCCCCTGGACGGATGCACTGTCACTTCCTACCTAATAAGCAGGCCTTGGAAACCTTCCAGGCTTCTGTAGACCTCCTCGTCTCACTCGTTGCCTGGGCGCCCCCGTGCTTCCTGGCGCTCGATTGTATTCCTCGGCATTCACCGTGCACGGTGGAGCCATGCTCTGTGGCAGAAGGTGCGGCAGAGGAGAGGAGAGGAGAGGTGGTTTGTGCTGTGGCCATAGGCTGCAGGGACAAAAAGACAGCCAGATATCTCCCCTCTGCTCTGGCACAGGGGCGCAGCAAATAGCGCTCAGTTTCCGCGGGTGGTAACTTGGAAGGCGTTGTCGGTGCCCCGCGCTCTGATTCTGTAGCTATATTCCGTCCACCCAGATAGTCCTTGAGCTCTGAGGGCCATCGCATTGCTGCGCGGCCCACACTGCGGGTGGCAGTTGATAAACGTAAAGTCCGATCCTAAACAGGCGAGGGGACCAGGGCCGCAGCCAGCCAGCGCGCTCTGGCAGGTGACAGGGAGCAGGGCTGAGGCTTGGAGCATCCGGTTCATTCTGCTGCCCTCCTGGCTGCCCATGCGGGGGTCCAGGGTGCCAAGGAGAAGCCGGGGGCATGAGGCCAAGACGGGAGGCCGCAGCATCTCAAGGCCTGGTGCAGAACGCTGAGCACCCGCAGTGGGGCTTGGAGATGGAGCCTTCAGGTGGGAGAGGCGACCTGGTGCATGTGTTCCCCGCGTACTCACACTGTTTTTCCTCTCGTTCCCTTCCCTGCCCGCACCTCCTTGTCGACAGTATCAAAAAACAATGTTTTTATGCCATCAACCTTCTGCGAGCCGTCTGCAGGCAATTCTGACTCAGAACCAGGTGAGCCCTCGTGTCCCTTGCCTTTTACTGCCCGTCCCTGGGGGTTTTCCTGGGATGAAAAGCAGTTGATATTGTAAAATAAGATCTTAAACAGGAATGGGCAATTTGAAAACCGGATTCTTCTCCAGTTCTTAAATGTTTTCCCAAATCTTCAGCTCATAGATTTGGAATCCAGTGTGAGGCCAGCTTCCTAAGCCCTTACTTAATTTTTTTTGTTTCTGCAAGGAGGGTCTGGTCCCAAGGAGTCTTTAAAAGTTTTGTTTTTTGTTTTTGTTTTGTTTTTTCAAAAACAAAAAGCAGCTATAGATCAGCATATGACTCGTTTTTCAAGGTTTTTACCCAAATCATAATTCGTATCCTTTTTTTAATGCAAATGGGAAAGACAGAGTAAAAGAATCTGGCTGCCGCTCCCCTGTTCCCCACCCCAAGGTAACTGCTGTGAGTCTGATGGAATTTTCCAGACCCCTTTTCTGTGCATTAGACTCTCACACTAATCGGTGTGACTTAAACGTGTTCACATAGATATGTAAGCATTCTCAGTCACAGCTTTAGACCTTGAGCAGAGAGTCCACCCCCTCCAGACCAGCCCCCCCCCCCCGCGCCCCCCAGACCATGGAGCCTGCCTTTTTTGGTCTCTCGCTAGAGACTCAACTCCAGGATTTCCTGAATGTTCCTCCCACGTGGCTGAAATTCCTCATAAAAGATTTAATGAGCAAGTTCAACCACCCGAATTCTGTAACCCAACCTGCCTTATATAAATTCATTGCCGACTTCAAAAGCATTGCAAGAGGCGTCCCACTCTGGCATGAAGGCAGTGTATTTATAACTTAGAGGATTGATTCAATAGCACCATTTCACACAATTGAATTCGTTTTGGCTCGAAAAGCAGACTGTTTTGAGCTGACCCCTCACCAGCCTCTGAAGAGGAGTGTGGGTTTTAAGCGGCCTTGGGAATACCTGGAGTGCTTGCTTAGCAAGAGCGCTTGGTCGGGGCAGTGGTAGCCGCCACGAGCCTCCGCAGGTCCAGGGTTTCCGTCCCCGAAGCCACTTGTCTAAATCACCTGGCGCTAGCGATTTCCATTACCAACCTCAGTCCCTTCTGGGGCCTGTAAGTGATGGCCTCGCTGCCCTCTTTTCCCCACAAAACCTTCATTCCGCAGCATCGACAGCAGGGCTGCCCTGAGGAAAGGGGGCTCCCCGGCCTCCCGAAGGCCCTGCCGCGGCTTCGTGTCCTGGCACCTGACGCAGGGCGGCGGCCTACCCGACTTGCCCAGCGCCCCCTCTGTCCTCGCCTGCCTGCCTTTCTTTTGTTTTTTAGCTTTAATTGAGGGGGAGGGTGCAGATTTTAAACTCTGGAAGAATTTTATAAAGCACTTCTGTATCCCTTTGCCTGTTCGATTTTCCCCAGTCGCCCCAGTAATGTCCTTCATAGCAGAGGGGCGATCATGCACGTCTCTCTCTCCATCTGGAATACTTCCTCATTCTTCCCTTGACTTTTATGGCTGAGAAGATAACGGGCCCATTATGTTGGAGAAGTTTCTCTGTCCAGGTTCATCCAGGGATTCCTGGTGATTCCACCCGGTGGGGCTAGAACAGCACAGAAGCGAAGCTGTGTCCTACCCAGCGCATCACAGGCGTGCCCCCCCCCACCCTTCTGCCAGACAGACGCTCTGAGACCCTGGGAAGCCCACTTCTGTCACTTCCCCCCACCCCGGCGTCGGCACCCGCGTGTGTTCTCCCGCTCGGGTTAGTCCTTACTCCCATGACCGATCACCAGAGCGGGATTTTCCACCCTGGCTGTTGCTGGTAGGTTCAGGTGACGTTCTCCCGTGGGAGACGGCTGTCCCTTCTGCCCACTTAGCCCTTTGTTATTCTGTGTATCCAGGTGGGTGCATGGATTCCTCTTTTAGGCAGCAGGCTCCTTTCTGTCGTTCTGCCATTCTGTCGTTCTTAGTGCAGAATTTACTTTAACCATCCCAGACTGGACCAGCGGGGGTGCCGTCACACAGGCTCCTGTGTCCTTTTGTCATAGCTCGTTACTCTTTGAAGCACTTTCTTTCTGTCTGTTCTCAGAGGGGTTCTTAGTGGAGGGAGCGTGGCCTCTGGAAACCAAGATCTGGCTCTTAGCAGTCTCAGCGCCGCTGCCAACACTGCACCTGGGTCTCCTCGGTGCCCAGAGGCGGGGTCGCACGCCAGTACCTGCATGCATACACGTGTGTACACTTACACACATTTCTCTGTAGCTGTCCGCACGTGTGGGTAACCCTAGGCTCACGTGTATACTTCCAGTCCAACACCAACCGGGCTCATCTGAGCCCCCCTGCTTCAAAATTCTCCCTCTCTCTTTCTTTTTTTTCCCATTTATTTTGAGAGAGCATGTGAGCTGGGGAGGGGCAGAGACGGAGAGAAGGAATCCTAAGCAGGCTCTGCACTGTCTGTGTGGAGCCCCGATGTGGGGCTCAAACCCACAAACCATGAGCTCATGACCTGAGCCAAAACCAACAGTCGGACGCTTAACTGCCTGAGCCTCCCAGGCACTCCTCCCTCTTTCTGACCGCGAGAAACCTGCTCCCTTTACTGCAGTGCACGTCCTTGCTCCCCGCACATGCCTGCCCCCGTCCAGCCCCTGCCCGCCGGCCTCCTCTTAGAGTCTTCCTGGCCTCTGGCACGCGGCATGCTGAAGTTCCTCAGGGCCGAGCATTGCCTGCCTCAGGTGTCGCTGGGGGAGACGCCTGCTTGCCTTAGACGTGATCAGAGGAGGGGAGCGACCTCCCCACCCCAGGAGCTCTCAGAGTAACAGAGCACGCGGTCGCTCATACACGCCCCTGACCCTACCACATGTGCAAAGGCTCTGGCTCATCAGGCCACACCTCTTCGTTGTGTCCCAACTGTGTCGTGGGAAAAGGGAGTTTCTTGAAGCTGTGAGAAGAGAGCATGTCTGTTTTGGTGGAGACGGGACCTCCTAGCGGCCCTCAACCTAACCTCCCTGTGAGCACAGCTCCCTGTTGCCTTGGGCTGCTTGTGTCCCCGGTCCTCGGTTACCGTTACAGATGTGGTGTGTCTGGTCTGTCGTCCACTCGCTGCAGCATTCAGTGTGCTTGCTTGCGCGTCTGCAAGGCGGGCTGCGTGCAAGGCCCGGTGCTGGTAGAAGCTGAGTGATGGCGACCACCCGGACCTGTGCCCCCGCTGGCCGGCCTCGGCCTGCTGCGAGGGTCAGATGCTAGCGCCACTCTGCACACGGCAAAGAGGCAAGTTCTGGTCGGGGGCTGCAGTGGAAGCATTGCAGAGCCAGTGGTAAGGGCTTACAACTGTTACCTCGATTGTGACCTTCACCTTGATTTTCCTTCAACATTGGTAAATTGCCCATCTTCTGAATAACACTGAGCTTGGGGAATGTGTTTCAGTATTTCCCGCCTGAAAAGGAGCATCTGGCAGCATGCCTTCCCTGCATCTGGGGTGTCTGAATCTCGTGAGTGTGGCTTTTATGACCCCTTTCTTATGGGAGAGACCCCAACCCCACTAACCCAGGCTCTAGGAAGCCTGCCAGACTCAACTCCCCTGTACTAAGTAGCAGCGAGAGTTTCTGTGATCCTGCTTTTGCTCAAGGAGAGCAGTCTGGCTCACCCACGTGCGGCCAGCAGGAAGAAGGCTTTCCTGCTCCGTTCCGAATTCTGGTTTGACTGTTTTATGCCTGACGTTGGCCTGGTGAGGCACCTGCCGTTGTAGTGTGCGGTCGGTTGGTGTCTCGTACACCCACAGAGCTGCGCGGCCGTCATGTAATTAGTTTTAGATCATTCCATTGGCCCAAAAAGAAATCCTGACCCCCGTTAGCAGTCACTCACTACCCCCTCCCCCAGCCCCTGGCAACCAAGAATCCACTTTCTGTCTCCATGGATTTGCCTGTTCTGGACGTTTCATATAAATAGAATCACACACTACGTGACCTTTTAAGATCTCTTTCCATGTTTGTCTTTACTTTCCTCCAACAGTGTAGTGGGTTTTCATTTGGTAAAGCCATTCCCAAGTAGTATTCTCATGGTGCTGTTGTAAGTGGAATTGTTTTCTTAACTTTGTTCGCTGCTGGCAGATAGATACACACAACTGACGCTCGTTCCCTGCAACTTGACAAGGGTTCCTTCAGATGAGTTGGACCTTAGCACCCCCGGTGGCCCCGAATGCCACTGTCCCTGTGCTGCCGCAGGCACAGACCTTCATGCCGATCCTTCTGTCATGGCACATCACACTGCCCCCACTGCCCGCCCCTTAGGACACAGGCAGAGTCCACAGCACACACACATCGAGGGATTTGTGTGGACCAGTCCCCAGCTGAAACCGGGCTTTGAGCCATCTCCCTGCTTCCTTCCCCTTCCTTCTGGGCCTTCCAGCATCAGGAAGCGACGAGGTGAAGCTCTCTAGACACATCTGGAGAGGGAGCAAGCCTGCTGTCTGCCACCTTTGATCTTTCACCACAGAAAACGTGTCTCATTTCCCCGACATGTGCTGATGGTGCAGAGGCTTCTCCTTATTACAGAGGCTTTGTCTGCCAAAACGGAGACATAGCTCTAAGAAACAGGCCCCAGAGACCTTGCTGGAGTGGCTCCCTGACCTTCTCCAGGGCCTGTGAGCCCAGCACAGCTCCTGGCAAGTCGCCAGGTACAGTGGCCCAGGCGTGGACCAGCCTTGCCTGCACCGTCACTTTTGTCTCCACCTTCAACAGCCCGTGGTCGTTTGTTGGCAGCACGCGACCTGGAGCCAGCCCCCCTGCCTCCCCCTCCCCCCCCACCCCTGCCATCGTCCAGGCTGCTGCCTCATGACCTTGGCAGTTGGGCCGGGCGTCCACGTTTTTGTTTTAGCTCGGAAGCATTTCCCTTGTTCTCTAGCTCTGGCTGCTGACACCCAGACCACAGTCTTCCCCTGCCCTTGACCGTCTGTGCTTCACTGCCATCCCCAGCCCCTAAGCGGTCCTGCTTTTTACCTTTTGTCTTGTGCTTGTAGAGGAAAAGAGCAGTGGGTTCCGGTTGAAGCCACCAACATTGATCCACGGCCAGGCACCTAGCGCAGGTAGGTGCCCTCCTTTGAGGACCGTGGAGGCCTTCCCGCCTCTGTGCACCATCATCTGCACGGCTTCCTGAGACAGCCCCACTGGCGTGCTCCAGGCTCAGCCCGCGCTCTGGGTCGTCTAAGTTACCTTTTTTTTTTTTATGTTTTTTTTTTAATTTATTTCTGAGAGAGAGAGAGAAAGCATGAGCAAGGGAGGGTCAGAGAGAGAGGAAGGTACAGAAGCTGAAACAGGCTCCAGGCTCTGAGCTAGCTGTCAGCACAGAGCCCAACGCGGGGCTCTAACCCAGGAACTGAAATCATGACCTGAGCCGAAGTCGGATGCTCAACCAAATGAGCCACCCAGGCGCCCCACGTCTAAGTTACCTTTAAAGAGCCCATCAGAACAGGAGAGATTCTCGCACCTGGGAGCCCTCCGCCACCCTGAGGAGTGGGGGACGGTGAGGGAGCGGACTTGGCTGGGTGTGGGGCGCTGGGCTCTGCGCCCTGCGTGTGCTCTGTTGGTTCAGGCTGGGTCTGCAGAACGTCCCAGCCCCAGGTGCTGCAGAGGAACCCCGGTTAGCAGAGTGGGCCTGACCCAGAGGCTGCCGCTGGGGAACAGGGCCTGCCAGCGGTATGGACTTGGAAGCATGCTCTTGTGTTTCTTACCCAATTGATGTTTGCCAGAGGGGTTTTCTCAGTGTGGCATTTTGAAAAGCAGGTGCAAAGGGCATTTTTATGTGGCCTGAGCAGTCCTAAACCTTGAGTGCTGCTGCCACTCTCTGCTCCACTTCGCCATCTCTGCTTGACCCTTTAGCCCAGCACTTGAGGACAGTGGTCCCGTGCTTCCCCCATAACATTACTGTCCTCGCTGGACTAACTTCCTTAAAGCCCCCTGAGAGCCATTACAGGGGTGTGCATCTCTGCCCACGAGGACTGAGGGCCCCGGGCAAACCGGCCTCTCTTCTCAGGTCTGCCGAGCCAGAAGCCCAAGGAGCAGCAGCGGAGTGTACTTCGCCCGGCAGTGCTGCAGGCCCCGCAGCCGAAGGCACTGTCACAGACCGGTAAGGAGCAGCTGGCGCACATGGCGGGGTGTAGGGCGTTCCTGGAGCTGGCCAGGGGCAGCTGTGTCCTCACTGAGGGGACCTCAGCCACATGTGCTGAATGCACTCCGGAACAGAGAGAGGGCTGGGGAGACAATCCTTTAAATCCCTGGTGAGCACAGGGAAGACAGAGACATGCCGTCCCCCTGCGGCACCAGGCCACGGTGACAGCTGGTCACAATGCACTTTGTGCACGCTCTGGCCTCATACAAGCCGGCCCACTCCCGGGCTTCTGAGGTTCAGCCCCGTGTGTCTGAGGGACTCGTGTCGTCTTGGATATGTGTGCAGTGTCCTGACTTGCCAGCCGGAGCACCCAACTCATAAGCCACATTTCCACCATCTCCACACAGCGGCAGCTTGTGGTTAGCCCTTAATTTCTTAATATCAATGAGTTTTTCTTGTCTTTCTCTTGGTCTTTCCCTATAATTCAAAAATTCATCATCAGAAGCAATCCAGCATTCCCCGTGAGGGAAATAGTATTTCTGAAGAGTCTCCGTAGGAAGGCTTTTTCACGTGATGCCAAAGAATCAGCCAGGTTTAAAGCTGTGCGTGTCATACAATCTCAGCTGTTTCAAGGGCAAAGATGCAGAGAACAAAGGTGTTATGAGTAATACTTATGTTATAAAACTCGTAATTGTTCCTTAGACACCTCTTCTTTTTTTCTCTTTACCTTAGTGTTGCCTCTGAGTACACTGAAATTCATACGGGTTCTTTGTGGAATAAGCCGTAAGATGTTCTCAGTTCTGTGAAGCTTTAGTTCTGGATTGCTTGTTTTCCTGTAAGGATTGGTGATTTTCAGCGGTGACGCCAGATCCTGTTCTTTGCAAAGGAGAAGTGACACCATCGGTCTAAGAGGTGGAAGGGAGCGCGGAGGCGGCGCCGCCCTCCCTGACCCCCGCTGTCCTTCCCTCCCTCCCGCAGTCCCCAACAGTGGCACCAATGGGCTCAGCATCCCGGCGGACTGCATGGGGGCCACGACGGCCACCTCACCCGACACACCCGCACGGAGGAGTCCTGACGAGGCGCAAGCCCCTGAGGTGCGTGTGTGCCGGGCGGGGAGCTCCCCGTGCGTGTGGGCAGTTCCGCTCCAAGCAGCACCCGGGCTCAGGCTGCTCCTGGCTTCGCCCAGTGTGCCCGCAGTTGCTAGAACACCGAGGGCGGTCCTTACGCGGCTCCAGAGCCCGCCATCGCCCGGCCGGGGCTCCCTGCCACAGGTGGCAGGTGGGCCTCTGAAACGTCCCTGGAGCCAGAGGAACGGCCGTTATTGGTGAAGCCTCGTGCTCTTTTACATGGAGAGATGGCTCCCCTCCCTGATTCCACACCTGAACTGCCTGGGGATTCAGTACTCGGCCCCTTCTAAGTAGAAAAGTGCCTGGTGGGTCAGCTCAGAAATCATTCTTTTTTTTTTTTTAAACAGAGTCTGGGCTTCTGGGATTAGGTAGCCATAGCGAGTGCATGCGTTTTCCAGTAGCGTGTGTTGCGCGGTGGCTGGAGAATGAGGGCCCGTGATGAAGAGCCTGCGCTTTGGCTGGGGGCGGGGGGGGGAGGGCTCACAACCTGGCTGCAGTGGCTCATCATGCCCCCCGCACAAAGAGCCAGACAGCACGTGTGTGTCCGTTTTAGCAGCAAAGCTGCCGCCTGAGCTTCTCTACCCGCCACCCCGCACGTCCCCCTCCCGGGAGATGATGGAGCTCAGATGGCAAAAACCGTCGTCTGCAGTTCACGGTTACCCCTTTGGCCCCACCCTCCAGCCACAGTTTACAGAATTCGAATTAGGAACCAGGGTGGCCAACGCAGCGAGTCACCTGCAAGTCGCCTGTGAGCGGGAGGGGGACTGAGAGGTGGCCCGGGGACCCAGCCACGGAAGACACAGCAAGCGCGTGAGGCGGCCCACTTTGCTAACCAGGGCTCCTGTCGCTTCTCTTCGTTTGTCTCGTTTGTGCCTCTAGGAGAAGGAGCCCCAGAGAAGCGAGTTCGGCGGCACCGGTGAGGAGGACGGGGAGAAGGCAGAGCGGGCCCAGCAGGCATTTGTGTTCGGGCAGAACCTGAGGGACAGGGTCAAGGTGTGTGACCAGAGGCCCGCATGAGCCTCTGCTTTCCTGTCAGAAGGGCGGGGAGGTGGACACAGCGTGTCGTGTGGCTCAAGGTGTGTCTGGCGGCCCGTTTCTTTGCACGCCTTCCACACTGCGCATGCCCCTTGCTCTCCTGGGAGCAACGGACAAGAAGGCAGCCGAGCCCCCCATCCGAGAACCAACGCCTTCAGAGCCAAGGAGGACACGCGCTCCGATCCTTTCAGCGGCCCCGGAGAGGTCGTTGTCGCCTGCCTCGGGCACCTCTGTCTGGCACTTAGACCGCTTCGCTCTTTATTGCTGGAGGCCTGTCCTGGCACTCTGGGGTGTTGAGTGGCATCCCTGGTCCCTGCCCTCTAGGTGCCAGGGATATACCCCTCCCCCCAGGTTGTGGCAACCAAAAGTGTCCCCTGTGGGGTCAAGTCACCCCTAATTGAGAAGCATTACCTTATTCTTTTAAGGTAGGGCAGATGGAAGAGTAACTTTTCTCTCCCGTAGGAGGCAATAGTATCTGTCCCCTCCTGGCTGCCCCCAAGGCCTGTTGGTCTGGTCTGGGGACTCTGAATCGGGGTTGGGGAGTGGCCTGGACCCCATGCACCGGCTCTCTGGGAGCCCAGACCTGGGCAGCAGTACCTTTCCAGCCCCAGGGACAGAGTCCTGTGCCGGTTCCAGCAGCTCAGCAGCAGGAGCTCCATTAGAAGCCTGAGCGACCACGTCTGTGGCTGTGTCCGGGCACATCTGTGGTTGTCACAACTAGGGCGTGGTGTAGGTGCTGCTGCCGTCCAGTAGGTCCAGTAGGTGGAATCCAGAGATGCTGCAGCCCCTGACCCAAGCGCCAGGGCGCCTTCCCCACAGAGTGATCCCGCCCCGGTGTCGAGGACGGTGATGGGGAGAAGCCCTGAAATAAGGAAACCAGAGTCTCTGGCACGTAGAAGACATCAGTTTGTGCCATCTGCTTTCTCCTTTAGTGCTCACTGCCCAGCAGAAACCCAGATGCCCAGAGGGGAAGAGTAGGCGTTGCTGTCACACGGCTTGAGCCAAAATAACGAGTCCCTAGGGGTCGCTCACTCCAGGGAGGGGGAAACCGGAGAAGGAAGGGCCTGGGGACCCTCCTGTGCTGGGAGGCAGGGGTCTGGCCCGGGCCGTCAGCTTGAGTCTGTTCCTAGGGATCAGGGGGACGGCTGCCTTGAAATTGGGGCGGGGGCTATGTGTTCTGGAGGCCCGGGGCTCTTGTGATCTGCGGTCTCACAGTTAGATGCCAGCTTCTCAGTGGGGGTGACTTCTGGACACCCCGAGTCTCTGCCTTCTCAGTCAAAGAACAAGGCTGGGAGTCCCTGTCTCTCGGGTCCTGGGCGGGTCACATCCGACAAGCTGTGTAACAGAGGTGGCACGGCAGTTAGGCAAGTGGAGCCCTCGAGAAACGATGCTTTTGTTACATTCACGATAAACCTCTGAAGGCATCAGATTTGTAAGCCTACTTGGTCCCATTACAGAAGCTTTGGTGGAAATGCCACCAGGATGCCAGTTCAAGGGTTTGGTTTAAAAAAAAAAAAAAGGCAAGATAGAAAAGGCTCCCTCAGGCCTTATGAACTGTTTGTATATCTTAACCGTTAAAAGGAGAAATGTGGACGCTGATTACAGCCCCGCTCCCGGCGTATACGTACACACATGCACATGGTAGCACCTGTGTCTGCTGCTGTGCAGCCAGGCCGAGCTGGAGAGGCCAGAGCAGGCCGTCCTCGGAGCAGTAAGCGCGCCTCTGTTTTGCAGTTAATACACGAGAACACTGAAGTCGCTGACATGGAGAATGCCGGACACCCCAGTTCAGAAACGCCAACTGCGACCAACTATTTCCTTCAGTATATCAGCTCCAGGTGGGTGTCTCGGGCCTGTGCCCAGCTGCAGAGGGGCCCTGTGGTCCTCCATCACCCCAAGTGGGGACCCAGACAGGAGACAGCACGGGGACCAGGAGCCAACCCGGTCTTTCTGGGGGGCAAGAAGGAGGGAAGGGGGCAGGGTTTACCAGAATCCTGGACACACACTCCCAGCTCCTCCCTTTATTCCCGTGCTGGCCCTGGCTCTACAGGGGCCACTGTGCTTCAGCAGACACAGGAGGCAGGATCCAAGTTTTGCTTGGCCCTCAGAGGGGCCTCTGTCACCCAGATCTCAAGCCTGGAGTAGAACCCAGTAGGCCAGTGGCTGCTTGGCTGCCTCCTATACCCACCAGAGTCCAGCCTGTGGAACCTTCCACTGGATCAGAGCTCGCCGGTAGTTAACGCTGCCAGTAGCAGTGCTCACTGATGGCCTGGGTGCCCCACGGGTATTTCAGAAGGAAGTGTGTCCGTGCCTAGGAGACAGGCCAGCAGAGCAGATAGAACGTGGGCTTGGATGTTGGAGAGACCTGGCATGAATGGTGGTGACCTTGCCCTTGGCTGCCTGGACCCTGACGAGCATTTTAAAGATCCTGTTTGGGCCCTGCAGCATTTCCCAAATGGAGACGTGCTTACAGCTATGACGTCTTAAACTGGATAGAATGTGATGGTGATGGCAGCTCCAACAACATCCCATGTCACCTGCCACCCCGGGGGTGGGAGGTGTCACTCCTTTGTGCAGGCCAGGGGACAGGGCTCACGCAGCTGCAGTGACTCATGGGGGCGGCTGCTGCCAGGGATGGGCCCGTTCCTTCCGGGAAGTAGGTGGCGTGTTTACCGTTCGGCACAGCCCGGCCTGGAGGCTTGAGCCCTGCGCTATGGGCACATCCCCCACGGGGAAGGCCGATGGGGGCGCACGCCTGGCGTTCTCACCCACCCCTTCCGTGCTCGCGCGAGTGCGGCCTGCACCGGCGCACACCCGCCTGCCCCGCCCCGCTGGCTGCCTCACACCCACAGCACATCTTCTCTTCAGTTTAGACAACTCGACCAACAGTGCCGACACCGCCAGCAGCAAATTCGTGTTTGGCCAGAACATGAGCGAGCGCGTGCTGGTGAGTGGCCCCAGAGGGACCGTTCTTCCTGGGGCCCCGGGGCGAGGGACGTGTGAGTGCGGCTGACACCTTGTCCCCTGTGAAATGAGGATGTGTTCAGTCGCAGGAGAAAGGCCCCTGCCTTCCCTCCCTGCCACAGCTCGGCCCTGTCCTAAGGCAGGCTTCCCCTTAAGTCAGGGTTCATGCCGCTTCCTGGCGGCGGCTGGCTGCAGTGAGCACCGTCAGCCCAGAGCCCTTAGCCATGTGCTTCTGAGACCGCCCCCTGCCGCTGGAGCCGAGGGAGCTCAGGCCCCTCCCCGACCATGGGGCTGCAGCACGGGTGGCTCCAATGAGGTGGCCTTGGAGGGGCCCCCCGCAGTGCCCCAGGTGTCTGCTGCACACACCAGGGCCAAGGTGCTTGGGTGCTCTGTGGCTGTCTCCCCGTCCCAGAAGGCCTGGCCAGCTTGGGGTGCCGTTCCAGAATAGTTTACCTGCTTTCTTATTTTTGTTTCCTTTTCCTTCCTTCCCCACCGCATCCATCGTGAGTGTGTTGAGGGAGCTGTCTCTCCCACTTCGTCATTTCTGCCTCTGTCCCCGTTGTGTTGAGGAGCCTCCTGCTGCTCTTCTCGAGCATCACTACTGTCCTCTTTCTATTCACTATTCACTATTATAGTGAAATAGTCCAAGAGCTGCCTCACGCAGAGATGAGTGGCTCGAGCTAAGCCAAGGTGACCGTCAGCTGGTGGCGCACGTCTCCCTGACACATCAGGGGAGGCCTCGCTTGGGGACCAGCGTGTATGGTTCACCTGTAGCATCTGAGGGGGTGAGCCAAGCTGCTTGTGTCATGAGGGCACTTCCTACTAGGTTTTACCCAGGATGCTGGAGGATCGTTGTGTGGAGACCGGGCCCCAGGCTGGAACCCACCCCTGGGGAGGGGTTTGTCCAGTCTCGTCTCCCAGGTCTGGGTGGTTCCCCAAATCTGTGAAGGAGAAGCCATCCACAGAGCAAAGCCCTCTGCCTGGTAGGAAGGTGCCAAGAGCCGCCATCCGGCAGAGGGGCTTCCTGATCCATGGCAGCTGCCCCCCTGGAGCACACAGACACGCGCCCCCACCCGTGTGCTTTCGTTTGCCCTGCAGAGCCCCCCCAAGTTAAATGAAGTCAGTTCAGACGCCAACAGGGAAAATGCAGCTGCTGAATCCGGGTCCGAGTCCTCGTCCCAGGAGGCCACCCCCGAGAAAGGTATGCTGCAGGCCTGCCGCCCAATGAGAAGGGCACCGAGGGACGGGGGCATGGTCCGTCCAAGCCCCTGCCTGGGAGGGACGGGGCCCCCAGCTCGGTGCAGCAGTACTAGCCTCACATGAACCAGCCACTGGGACAGAGTCTAAAAGCCACGGTGTGGTGCTGGTTTTCAGTGAGCAGAGAGGGGACACGTTCATCTTGAAATAGCAAGGCTGTGGCCCTGCGTGGTGACTCTGGGGATAGGGCCTAGGAGGTGGTTGTCCACTTCTTTCTCCTTGCCCAGGGGCAGGGGCGTCTCCAGTGCTGTGGGGGGGAACCGGCAGTGGGAGGCCTGGAGCCGAGCTGGCAGCTGGCTCCACAGTGCTGTGTCTCGGAGGTCCACTCCAGGTCCCGGAGTCTCGACCTTTTGTTTTGTTTTGTCCCCCGTGAGGTATGCACACACGCGCCCCCTGGCAAATAGTCAATGTCGTTTAGCCAATAACGTTTCAGAGTCCCTGGCCGAGTCGGCAGCCGCCTACACCAAGGCAACAGCCCGGAAGTGTTTGCTGGAGAAAGTGGAAGTCATCACGGGGGAGGAGGCGGAGAGCAACGTGTTACAGGTGAGGCGGGCCTGGCAGGGGGCGTCTGGCTCTTCTGGGCCTCCTGGCCCTTAGGGGGTGGCATGAGGGGCCGTCCTAGCCCCCCGCTTCTCGGTGCATCTGACAGGCTGGACACGGGCCAGCCCCCTACCCTTAGGGCTCTTGGCAGAGCTTCTGAGAGCGTAGCAAGTGCTAAGGGCCTTGGGGTCCTGCTCTGGTGTTGAGCAGAAGGACCTGTTTTGAACATTCTTGGTGACTCGGGGCGCTCCAGGGACTGCTGTGACAGACACCCGAATGCATATCCAGGAGAGTCTTGTCGCACTGGCGCCCTCGTTTTTACCCAGACTGTGTGCCCGCCTCTCCCCTGTGCCCGTCCTCCTGTGCGTCCCGGGGCGGCATGGCCGCCTCTGTGTGTGCGCCTGTGAGCTGCGTCTACAGGGCCTCCGAGTGTTTAATGTGGGCTATTAGAATTCCTTTTTTTTTTTTTTAATTTTTTTAAATTTTTTTTGTTAACATTTGTTTACTTTTGAGAGAAACAGAGCGTGAGCAGGGGCAGGGCAGAGAGAGAGGGGGAGACACAGAATCCGAAGCAGGTTCCAGGCTCTGAGCTGTCAGCACAGAGCCTGACGTGGGGCTCGAGCGCACAAACTGTGAGATCGTGACCTGAGCTGCAGTCAGGCGCTAACCGAGCGGCCCCCGCCACCCGTGTGGGGCTGTGAGAGGCCCTGCTGTTCCTGCCCACTCAGCGTTGTTCCGGAGCCTACGCTTGTAAGGAGCGACTGCGCAGAAGACCTGCACACTTTCTGTGGAGGCCCAGGCACAGTCTCTGTGGGAGACTTTTCTTACGTCGATAGCAGCCTTATGGAGCTCGAACTCCTGTGCTATGGAATGCGCCCTTCTAGAGCGTGTGATTCCGTGGTTTTAGTATGTGCACAGTTGTGCAACTGCTACCACTATCAAAAGAGAACATTTTTTTCCCCAAAAATGTTAGTAGTCAGCACCCCCACCCCCTCCCCCAGCCCCCAGTCCCCATGACCCCCTTCCCCTGTGGAGGAGCCTGTTCTGGACGTTTCACACAATGCAGACTCACGCCCTGTGTGGCCTCTCATGTCTGAGCGTCGTGTGTTCAGGGCCCATCCACGGGGCGGCAGGTGGGGGCGCCTCACTCCTGCTCTCGGCCGAGGGACGTGCGTGTGCGTGGTGGACACACCTGAGGGGCGTGTATGGTGGACATTTAGGTAGTTTCTGCTTTTTAGCTGTTGCATATCATGCTACCGTGAATGTGTGTACAAGCTCACATGTGTAGGTACGTGTCATTTCTCTAGAACCCTGGCCCGTGCGATGGGGCCTTTAACATTTGGAGGGACCGTTTTCCGCAGTGGCCGTGCCATTTTCCATCGCACCAGCCGTGTGCGAGCCTCCTGGTTTCTCCCCACCCTCCCCAGTGCCCGCTGCTCCCTGTCTTGTACCCCCCTAGCAGGGCCGAAGTGGTTCCCCATTGTGGGTTTTATTTTTGATTCCTTAGTGGATTTTTTTTAGTTTATATTTATTCTTTGAGAGAAAGAGCATGAGTGGGGGGAGGGGCAGAGAGAGAATCCCAAGCAGGTTCCACGGTGTCAGCAGAGAGCCCGACACGGGGCTCCATCTCACAGACCACGATATCATAAGCTGACGAAATCAGGAGTCGGACGCTTAACCAAGCTACCCAGGTGCCCCAACCTTAGTGATTTCTTTTAATGTTGCTCTGAAAATTTAGACTTCATCTTCATTGGAGAGCAGGATAAAAAAAAAAACACTGGCCCGGGGCTACACGTGACCCGACCCCCGACCCCAGGCCAAGGTTTGGTGACCTCTGCCTGCTAGTTCACTCGGTAGATCGGAGCTGCCGGGAGGTCGCCCGCCCTGCGGGGCCCCTGCTCACCCAGAGGGCTGCCTTGTATTCCAGATCCAGTGTAAGCTGTTTGTCTTTGACAAGGCCTCACAGTCGTGGGTGGAAAGAGGCCGGGGGCTGCTCAGACTCAACGACATGGCGTCGACCGACGACGGGACGCTACAGTCCCGACTAGGTGAGCTGTGGCGCGGTCTGTGCGGAGAGAGCCTGCGACGGTGCCATGGTCCCAAGGTCCAGAAGGGCAGGATCCCAGCGCGCATCCCCATGGGAGAGCCCCTGGCGCCCACACCCCGTGGCCTGCAGGCCCAGGCCTGATCCCAAGGTTCTCGCAGCCAGCTCTTCCGTGACTCCCCTCGTTGTGGTGGGAAGGTAGATAAAAGTACTTGCGACTTTGGAACTTGTTTTCCAATGATAAAAGTGCCGGTTGCCTTGCGGTGGGAAGGAGAAATGGCCACCTCAGGCACCCTGACAGCGGTTGATCCTTATCGCAGACCTTCCCCAGCCCGTGCAGAGGTGGGCCTGTGGGCGCAGAGGGCTCGGGAGTGGACTTAGGGAAGGATGGTCATTTGGAGCCCGGGACACCCCCCCACACACCGGCCCTGAGTTGGCCAAGCCGCTCTGTGCAGCGCGGAGAGGTGGGCTGGCAGGAAGGCAGGCCGTCGCCACGTGCACATGGTCAGGGCACATGTGGGGAGGATGGGCTCTGATAGACCAGGCAGGCCGACAGTGGCCTTGGGCTGGTCCTTCCAGAGAAGGAAGGTCTATATCCTCTTTTGTCTTCACCATGTCACCCTGTGTCTTGTGGAAGCTCTGAGCAGCAGTTGGCCTCAACCTTTTTTCTCAGAAAGCCACAGGGTCGAGGCTGGGGCTGCCTGAGAGTGGGGCCCATCAGGGGTCCCACAAAAAAAGCACCTGTGCCCAGTCGGCAGTTGTCCCTGTTGGGCCCCCCTCCCCCAGCCCTCTCCTTCCCCGAGGGAGCCACCGTTCTGGCAGAATTCTCCACGCAGCAGATCTGGCCTCTTCCCCCACCCGTGGCCAATGGGGAGATCGGGGCTCCGGGGCTGGCCTGTCACGTGGGGGGCTACGGCTCGGCAGACAGGCGGCTGACACGGACCTGGAGAGATGTGGGATTTCACGCTGTGATGTTTTCATTCTGGGTGGTATCTGCGCTCCCGGCTGGCCGTGGGCGGGGGATCAGGGACCAGGGCTGAGTGGCCTTGTTGGTTGCAGTGATGCGGACCCAGGGCAGCTTGCGGCTGATCCTCAACACCAAGCTGTGGGCCCAGATGCAGATCGACAAGGCCAGCGAAAAGAGCATACGCATCACGGCCATGGACACCGAGGACCAGGGCGTGAAGGTCTTCCTGATCTCAGTGAGTAGCAGGGGTGGGGTGCTACTGCCGACTTCTTGGGGGAATGAACTGCCGGATGGCACCCTGGTTGAGGGCTGAGCACACCCATTCGGTGCACTGCGGGACCGCCCCTCCGTGGGGTGCCCTGGTGTCCAGGGGTGCCAGTAGGGCGGCCTCCAGGCCAGCCAGTGTACACCAGGCGCGGGTCGGGACAGACGGGTGGGAGAGAAATCAAGCAGCCCTGCAGCGCCTTAGTGCCAGCGCAGCCGCAAGCCGTGTGAGCCGTGGGGGGCGCGCCCTGGGGCAGCAGGCGCCTCCATCCACTGTCCCTGAGCGTGTCCTCCCCGGACACAGCCTGAGGATCTGGCGGCAGTTGCCCCACCCCGAGGCCTTACAGCCCACCGCTTCCCTGCGCCTCTCCCAGGCCAGTTCCAAGGACACAGGCCAGCTGTACGCAGCCCTGCACCACCGCATCCTGGCCCTGCGCAGCCGCATGGAGCAGGAGCAGGAAGCCAAGCTGCCTGCCCCCGAACCCGGGGCGGCCCCGTCCAACGAGGACGACAGTGACGAGGATGTTCTGGCTCCATCAGGGGCCACCGGAGGCGGTGAGCTGGGGGTCCCCACCCTGGCGGGTGTGGGGACCCTGACAGAGGGGGCTCCATCCAGGGTGGGGGCCTGATGGTGAGGCCACTGCTTCCCCACAGGTGCCGGCGACGAAGGGGACGGGCAGACGGCCGGGAGCACATAGCGCCGGGAGCCGGCTGCCCACGAGCCTGCTGCTTTGTCCGTCTGTCCGCCCGCCCGCCCGCCCCGCCAGCAGTGTTGAGGCGTGGGGCTCGGGAACCACACTCCCCGCTGGGTTGGCCACAGTTCGGATCCGCATGTCCCGTTCAGAAGCAGACTCGGGAACTGCCTGAATGTGGTTTGGGACACGAGACCTCATCATATTGATGAGCAAAACGAAAAAACATTTCTTCCCTCCCCTCCTTTGAATTGAAATGGCACATTGAGACTTGTCACGGCTTCTCACTGGGACTGGGACACCTTGTTTCTTCACCCCTCCCTCCTCGTGTCCCCGGCCTCTGCCGCCGCCGCCCAGGCTGCCGGGTCTGTGCACACAAGTATAAACACTGGGCCTGCTGGACGTTAACTACCATCTTTGTCTCCAGTTTCCCACATTCTGATTTGGGGCTTATATTTTTAGATCTTTTTTTCCCCGAGGCTTCGTGTTTGGTTTCTTGGGTTAAGACTCTCCTGGGCATCGATCGGGCACAGCTCTATCCTGGGCCACGTCCTCCCCCTCCCTGGGCTCCCGGCCTCTGTGCTGGGGTGTTGAGGGGTTGGGCCCCAGACCTGGAGAGAGGGGGTCACTGGACCTGGGAGGGTCCCCCACCCTCCTGCCTGTCCCCATCATGTCGGTCACCCATCTTCTGGCACCCAGGCGCAGGCCTGCTTCCTGCCACTGGTCATTCCTTGCCCGGCCCTGGACCTCACCGCCCCCAAGACCATCCAGGGCTGGGGGCCTCTGTGAGAGGCGGAGGAGGACCTTAGCAGAGCCTTCGAGGAGGAGGCAGGGGGCTGGTTCCTGGCAACCAGCCGCCCCCCACAGGAGCAGGCGCCGTGCCCCCCCCCCCCCGACCCTGGAGCACGGCCAAGAGCCAGCCAGGCGTCATGCACCTGGGAAAGCCGTGGGGACGGTCCCTGTGTCCCAGGCTCCGAGGGATTTCAGAGGAACCTGCCCAGCCCCTCCCCCAGAGGGGGAGAAGGGCTCCTTTCTGCAGCCTCGCCACCCGCACGGAGCCGGTTGTGTGCAGCCTGAGCCCGAGCCATGGGAAGACACCAAAGGCCCTCCCAGCAGATCCAGTCACACTTCTCTGCTTTAAGCCTTAGCCAACTAGTGACAAGTAAAACGAGATAATGCCCATGTGTTTTGGAACATTTATGTAAGATTGTCATATGAAATGTATTTGGGAACTACATTAAAACTTTTAACTAAAACCCTGGCCTCCTGCATGCCCCAGGGGCCTCAGGAAGCCAGACAGCCTGGCCAAGGACAGCCTCCGGCCCCCAGGGCAGCCTGGCCCCTGCCCGACTCTGCGTCTGGGCAGGTGACCACACTTGGCTGCCTTCCAAGACTGGCCGCCTCCATGCAGAGCTTTGCTTTGTCCCCGGCCGTCTGGCTTCCCGCGGTGGGGGCGGGGTGGGGGGCACGCGCAAGGGCAGCGGGCTGCTGGCAGGGCTGAGGGGTCACAGCAGAAACAGGAGGAAGCGGGGTGGGGGGCACCTGCAGGGGCTCTGTGAGACCTGAGTCCAGATGGCAGGAACAGGGACAGGGAGGGCCCTGTTCCTGGGGTTCTGAGCCAGTGACCCATCCTTGGAATCTTTGTCCTACTTGCACCTGATGGCCAAGCTGGGTCCTCTGAGACCTGGTCCGGCCGGTCCCACAGCCTCAATCTTCCCACGTTCCCCTGTAGCCCCCCACCCCGGGGGCTGCCCAGCTGGAAGCCCGGGCTCAGGGGTGCCAGGGTGGGGGTCCTACACCACAGTGGTGCTGGCTGAATATGCGTTGCGCTGCTCACAGCTGCCAGGCGCTGGTCATCATGGCCACAAACTCCTCGTCCGTGTCCATGGAGGCGCTCACGCCGCTTTAGTAGTCCTGGAATTCGGCCAGAGTGACCTGGGGGCAGATGCGCTGTAAGTGGGGACCAGAGACTGGGGTGAAGGCGGTTGGGGTATCTGTGGGCACCCACCTGCCCGTCCTTCTCGGAGGAGTCGAAGTTGTCCAGGAAGCGGCGGAGGACCTCCTCCTCGGTCCACTCCCCGCTCCGCACCTTGGGGTGGGCGCGGCCACTGTAGACCCCCCGGAGATCATCCACTGTCACCACACCGTCCCCGCTGCGGTCCAGCTTGGCGAACGCGGCTGCGATGACCGCCTCCCGGGCCTGGGACATGGGGGGCTGCAGAGGAAAAGGTAGTAACCGGGGGGCCCTCCACCCACCAGGGCTCTCGGGCATCCGGTGTCAGCGCTGACCCAGGCAAGCCCAGCACCGTCCAGGCCGCGGGGCCCAGGGCCTCACCCGCAGTGCCCTCAGGAACTCCTCCAGGTCCAGCGTCCCACTGCCGTCGCGGTCCCAGCGCCGGCACACACCCTCCGCCTCGGCCGCGTCCAGCACCAGCCCCAGCTCAGCCAGGCCCCGCTGCAGCTCCCCCGAGTCCATGGAGCGGCTCTTGTCCCGGTCCAGGCGGCGGAAAAACCTGAGGGGCAGGGGACGGAGCTAGACACTGGTCTCTGGAGCTGGGCGGGGAGAAGGCTGGGGGGACGGCTCACCTGGCCAGGCCCTGGATGCCTGAGGCCCCTCGGGACAGGCACTGTGCCCGGAGCTTCTCCACAGTGGCGTCCACGGCATCCATGCTGGGTCAGGGCCGTCTGGGTAGCTGGATGGGAGAGAGCTGGAGGAAGGGCTCCCACTCGGCCCGCCAAGCTGTGGTCAAGTGCCACAAGCCTGCCCTGGCCAACTACCCGCTCACCTGCCCCGCGTCCGTCCTGGAGGCCAGCCAGCCACTCCTCTGGCCCCGGCCTGCTTTGCCCAGCGCTGGCAACACGTCCCGCCCAGCAGGACTGTTGCTTAGGGATGGTGGCTCAGGAGACTGGGAGGGGCCCCAGCTGTAACCCTCGCTGTGCCGGTGCCTCGTAGCCCTGGGCACACCCTGTGGAGCCGAGGGGCCAGGCCAAGAGGGACAGGGCAGTGCCCTCGCTGGCACCACTGTCCAGCCTCTGTCCTCATTCCCAGCCTTGCAGTGCCCAGGTCTGGGGTGAAGCCAGACGCTGGTGGGGAGTGGGGATTCACCCTTCCTGGCTCCAAAAAGGAGGGGTGGCCCACAGCCCTACAAGGACCACTGTCCTGGATGGAGAGGGGCAAGGCCATGGCCGAGGAGGCTCAAGACCCAATTCCTGTGTGGCCTGGAGCAGGTTCCCTTCCCTCTCTGGGCTTCACCTGCCCCCTGCGTCTTTTCACAGGGCAGCAGCCAAAGCTGCTGAGGGATCCAAGTTCAAAAGGGTTTGAGGTGGCCCAGGCCCACCTCCAGGTTTTCGGATCAATGCGGCTGAGCCAGGACAGAGCAGCCTTACAGACACTACAGTGTTAGGTCAGACAAAGAAGTTCCTGCTAGTTATTTAGGGGCCACTTGTATTTTTTTGACATGGGTCTTTCGGCGGTCGGTTTTCAGTTCTCAGACATCACTTGGTGGTCTTGCTTGTGATAAGCTAGGGTAGCCAGGGGACTGTGGCACCAAACGAAGATGTGCACCTGCCCCCGCCCCCCGATGTCACCCAAGAAGAACCGAGGTCCCCATCACAGGAGGCCTTCGATAGAGACTGGACGCCTGTGCCGACTGAGGGCATTTCAACCCCACAGACGGGACTGAAAATGACTGGATTTCCTAGGACCGAAAACACGGGCCCCATCAGCTGCAGACGCCCAGAGGTCACCAGAGTCTTTTCAAAGCCTGGACTTAGACACAGCACAATGGTGGCGTTGGAAACCAATCCACAGAGAGCGTGCAGCCCTGCACCACCGTTCAGGCCCCCACTGATGTGATGCTGTTGTCACAGCAAAAATTCTGGCGCCCTGCCACAGTCTGTAACTGTCCGAGGAGGCAGAGAACGGCTCCATTGTGTTTTTCACGAGGGTTACAAAAATCACATTTTTTCCCCATAGAAAAATGTCAAATATCAACCACAGCCATTGTAACTCTGTTTTGGCATTGCCTCATCTTGAAGAGAATCAGAATCTCACCAATAACCTCTCCAGAAATTGGAAGTGGCCCAGGCCCTCCCGACCCCGAGGCCCACGCCAAGCCTCACTTTCCACATCTGGAAAATGGGACAAGCCTATGCCGCAAAGATGAGACACCAGCCCCCCGGGACTGTCACCTGTGTCTCCCCACCCGGCAAGACCTCCTCCCGACCCCGGAACAGCACCCGGCCCGCCTCTCCAGTCCCCACCCAGGAACGAGGAAGGACAACGGCCAAGAAATCATTCAATTTATTCTTGAGCTCCGACAGGCCTCAGCCTGCCTTTCCCTCATACGAGCAGCCCCCCCTTGGTCAGCCTTAGAAAATGGGGCCATTGTTCTTACACTGAGGGGTCACTGTTAGATGCCAGGCGGGGCAGGCCGCACCATCCTGAGGGCTGGAGATGGACACCGACCTTTCCAGGCCAAAATGGGCCCTTCCCCTTGGTTCCTGGTGTGACGATTTCCCTGAGTGAGGAGGCGGGGAAATGGCTACCATAGTACCAGATTGGGCGGAGAAAGGCACAGGATTCCCTGGTTTGATTTAAAAACAACAACAACAAAAAAACAGGCACCCTAAATGTCTCTGGCCAAGAAGGGACAGCAGGGAAATAAAGAGTTAAGAAAAAAAATTAAAAAGTAGATTCTCTAGAAAATATAAAAAGGAGCCAGCTGCTTGCTACCAAAGCTAGATTGGCCGGGGGCCTTGTCAGATGTGCTGGGGACCCTGGCTCCCTGCAGGGCCCACAAACCCATCCTGTTCCTACGGAGGTCCCACGGTGAGTCTGGTGACATGAAGTTCCGTAACGAGAACAGAATGATGGGAATCACTTCGGATAAGGCAGTCAGGGAAGAACCCTCTGAGGAGGTGATCTGAGCGACAAGGAACCGGTCCTGTGACCTCCGGGGGAAGAACTTTCTAGGCAGAGGGAAGAGCCAGTGCAAAGTCCCTCAGGAAGGACTCTATCGAGAAAAGACTGAGGGATGCCTGAGTTTTCCGGGGGCAGCGGAGCCTGGCTGCCAACATCTCACAATGTCTCACACGCACGCTCTGCCTTCTGGGTTAAAAGTTGACAGGACGGGGGGGGGGGAAATCTAGCATTAAAAATCTGTCTTCCTACAACCAGGGCAAAATGACACAAGTCATGCAGTTCCCAATTCTGGTCTGGGATGAAGGATAAGAAGCAGCTTTAGCCTGGGGTGAGGGATGCTTCGGAAGGAACAGAAATCAGGGCAGGGAGAAGAGAGAGAGAAAAACGTGATGCCGTCCGCCCCCACAAGTGACAGAGGTCTCAGATGGGGCAGGGGCCAGACATCTGGCCCTAAGGCGAGGGAGCCAACTGGACCTCACACTTTGGCTGAAGAGGGTATCCCGGGCTCAGAGCCAAGGAGGCATGACCAAGACTAAAGCCAGAAATCCAGATTTTTGTGTAAGCGTTGCCAATGTTTCAGTAAGTGGACTGATTTAAATTTGTTTTAAAACAAAACAAGACAAGGGGCACCTGACTGGCTCAGTGGGTAGAGCATGGGCCTCTTGATCTCGGAGTTGTGAGTTCCAGCCCCACACTGGGCGTGCAGATTATTTCAAATCTTTAAAAACGACAACAGCAAAACAAAACCAAAGCCTTCCGTCTGGGCTACACATCTGCCTTTGGCCCACAGGCTGCCTGTTTGAAACCTATGACTTTTTTGCAGGTTTTGATGCTTGGAAAGGTCTGTGGCTCTGCCACTGGGCCCCCTCTCAGACACAGAGGGGACACCCCAGCAGCGGAACTCCGTCTCCGTTGTGGAGTCTGTGCTCCAGGGCTCACACGGTGGTCCCAAACACTGCAGGCTGCAGGTGACCCCTGTCCTCCTCGTCCCCGGTGCTGTTGGCAAGGCGTGGACTGGGCTCACTGGGGGGTGGATGGCTGGGGTCTCCGGCCGGCAGGGGCCCCAGGCGTTCAGCTTGGGCCAGGGTGGCCAGCAGCCCGGCCAGGGGTGGCCGGTAACGGCAGATGTCCTGCAGCAGCTCGGCCCGGGGCTGCAGCTGCCCGATGAGCTCGTCCCTCTGGCGCAGGGCGGCCTGCAGGCTGTGGACAGTGGCCTCGGAGGTGAGCAGCTGCTGCTGGAGGGCGGCAATCTCACTGGCAGGAAGGCAAGACAGGGCAGCTGTGGTACCAAGGGGATCAGAGATTCTCCTCCTCCCTGCTCCCAACCTCGCAGGGCTCCCCATCGCCATCAGGATAAAGGCCATGCTCCTCACCACTGCTTCAAGGCCCCCCTTGGCATGGACTGAATGTTTGTGTCCCCTCGAAACTCTGGGGCTGAATCCCTGCCCCCCCCATATGATGTATTTGGACATGGAGCCTTTGGGATGCAAGTAAAATAAGATGAGCTCATCAGGGTGGGGCCCTCAGAGAATGAATGCCCCTGTAAAAAGAGACACCAGAGAGCTTGCTCTCTGCCCAAGAAGACAACCCACAAGCCAGGAAGACAATCTGTCGCCAGGAACTGAACCTATCAGTTGGACTTTCCAGCCCTTAGGGAAAAAAAAAAATCAGTTGCTTAAAGCCCCCAAGTCTCTGGTGTTCTGTAATGGCAGCCAGAGCAGACCACCCTCATTGCTCCCCTGCAGGTCCCTTTTCCCCTATATTTTTTCCTATTTGTTCAGCTTAGATGGCCCCCTCCTCCAGGAAGCCTTCCATCTCGGCCCCCTCAGAACCCTTTGTGCCCTTCATCACAACCCCAACCACTCCATTTTGTAAATGCTTAGTGATGTGTATGCCTAAGGTTGTGCTATGTAGGTCTCAGGGGCTCTGGTGCGCCGCACCTGCCTGGCGCATAGTAGTAGGTGCTCAGTAACGATGAACGAATGGATCCAACCAGGTCCCAGCCCTTGCCCAGCTGGGCTCCAGACCTCCCTCCCTCCTCCCTGGACGCTTGTCTCATCCCTTTCAATCCTCAGCGCCTCTTCAAAACTAGAGGGGCTCTTCAGAACTTCTGGTGTGATGCCAGCCTCCTCTGCTCGAGAACCCGCCATGGCTCCCAGTACCTAGGGGGAGGTCGGTGATCACCACACCACTCAGAAAGAGCCGATTTTGCCTTGTGGAAAAACGGGCCCTGTTGTAAGTTAGAAATCTACATTTGTGTGACACCTCTCGGCTTTGCTTGCTGGTGACCAGTTCGAGGTGTTTGGTGTTTATTTTCTCAATCGCACCAGTAGTCCAGCCTACTCGTGAATGTAATGTACACGGTTCCCGCGCCTCTCCTCCCTTTCCAGTCTCTGCTCTGCCTCCGCCCACGGCCTTCGAGAAGTCCACCTGGCCGGCCCCGGGCCTCACCAGTCCTTGGCGCGGCCCAGCTCCTCCAGAGCAGCACGCAGCCGCTGGTCGTGGCGGGCCAGGCGCTCGGCCTGGGCGCTCACTGTGCGCTCCGCCGCGTCCAGCCGCGCCTCCAGCTCCGCCGCGCGCCGGTGCACGGCCGCCAGGTGTGCGTTCGCCTCGCGGATCTGCAGCGGCTGCGGCGCCGACATGGCCCCGGCGCCGTCCCGGACGGCCCGGAACCGGGCCCAGGTCCCGCCCCGGCCACGCCCCCCAGCCCGGGTGGCCCACGCCCCTAGAGGCTCTCCCTGGACTTCAGCGCGATTGGCCACGGCCAGATGGGTCGCGCCCTCCTCAAACCCAAACACATTCAATGGTTCGGGCACCTCGAAACTCCGCCCTTGGGCCCGGCCTGACTCTAAGATTGGCCAACGTCCTGATAAACCACGCCCCTGCAAGCCTGGCCACGCCCAGGCTGCGACTCTCTTGGAGCCACCCGAACGGCCACGGCCACGCCCCCTAGGCGATCGCACAGCTGCGGATTGGCCAAATCTTCAAGCAGCGTCTCTCCCTGGCCACGCCCCCAAACTTAGCGTTACCTCCTCCGGGCCGAGGCTCGGCTAAACCAGCCGCAGGCTGGGCACACGTGCGGTCCCGCTAAAATCCTAGCCCCGGGATCGGTATCTTTCGCCGCCTGCGAGTCTGGCCACGCCTCAAAACAGTCGCACGCGGTTCAGACGCGTGTGGGGGACGGGCCCAGGTCGTGATCACGCCCCTACGCGGATTCTGGCGCTGAGAGTGGCCGCATTTCCTCTGTGTCCCGCCCCATAGTTACATCTTGCTCCTATAAAGTGGAGTTCCGCCCCGCGCCCGAACACCCGTCATGATCCCACCCGTGGATTAGGCCCTCACTCCGGGTCAAACCTTCCTAACTTAGGCCTTTCTGAGTCGGGGCTGGCGAGATCTGCCTTCACTGATTCTGGTTGACCTCAGCTTCTCCCTCCAGAAATCGGCTGGGGCTGCATGCGCGCTTCCTTTACACCAGTCCCGACTCGGCGCATGCGCGCCGCCCGTGTCTGTGTTCCCGGTGCTCAATAAAGTTGCACGTTTGTTGTCGGCCCCTGCGCCCGAAAGGTTGCGCGCGCCGCCGAGGAAGTCTCGCGAGTACGAGCGGCGGCTGCCCTTGGACGCTGGGAGCCGGCCGGGCGTGCGGTGTGGGGCCGGGGCTTCGCGGTCATGGTGCGGACGCTTCTTCAACAATACCTGGACATCCCCGATGGCACCGAGTGCCACCGCAAGACCTACGCCAGTACCACACTCAGTGGTGCCGCTGGTGAGCGCCGCCCGGGCCCCGGGGGCAGAGGGTGCAAGGAGGTCATAGTCGCTGGGGGCTGTCCGAGGGCGGCCTGGGGGGTTGGGGATCTCGCAGGTGGCGTATGGTTGTCACCGGGGTGTCTGCGGTGGCCCTGGGACGCTGAAGAGCTCTTGTATGAGAGAGATTTTGTAGGCGTGTCGGACTGATCCAGAGGCCGCAGCAAGGCAGCAGGGTCACTGGGAACTGTCCCAAGGGGCCGGGGGCTGGGTAGCTCACGGGGTGGCACGTGGGCGTCGTGGGGATGTCTGGGGGCGGCCATGAGGACCTCTTGTGTGGAGAGGGTCCGGCAGGGTTGGAGGGCACTGGGAAGTGGTGCATGTGACAGGCTCTGGGGTCGTCAGAAGTGGCCCCCGGGTGCTGAGATTTGGGGGTTATTGTTGAAGCGGTCACCGGGCTCCGAGGAAGTCGTTGAGTGGGAGAGGGCCATTATCGGGATCAAAGGAGCTGGGGATTCATGAGACTGAACAGGGTTAAGTTGAGGTTACTGGGGGAACGCTGGTCGTGGGTAATTATTCTGGAGGGAGATGAGGGTTTTTTGAGGGTCCAGGAGAGCGGGCTGGTTGGGGATATCTGAAGCTTTCATTGGGACCACAGAGGCGTGGTAGAGGTGCCGAGATCATAGACGAGGTGGGTCAGAGGCTTCTATAAGGGTAGCTTTGGGAGGGCATAAGGGGATTCACAGCCCTGGCACTCCCCTGCAGGGGAGACCCCAGCCTCTAGTCCCTTACAGTGTCCCTTTCATTCTTAGTCTCTTTGAGAAGCAGATAAGATCGTTTGGGCCACCTCCATATCTCCAGCTCCTGAAATGAGGCCTGGTAGAAGTTGAGTCTTCACCAGGCTGCCATTTTCTGCATGTTTAGTGAGATCAGTGCATCGTGCCCATTTCTCAGATGTGTACAGTGAAGGTTGGACAGGTGTATTAACTTCCCCACAGTCTTTTGGAGCCAGAGTGCAAATCCAGGTCTGCTGATCTGCTCCTGAGGGTGGCTGAGGCAAGGACTGTGCATGCAGGGTCCTCATGGGAGGGGTGGGGGCCGCTAAGGAGAAAGGGTGGAGGGGGAGTCCCTGCGGATGGGTTCTGCAGAGTCCGTTTGAGTGGCGAGTTGTTGGGACAGTGGAGGTGCCTGGTGGGGTCTTTAGGGGGCCCTGAGAGAGGACACTGGGGTTGGATCACTGCAGCTGCAGGGGGAAGTTATTCGGGCACATTCTTTTTTTTTTTTTTTTTTAATGTTTATTTATTTCTGAGAGAGAGAGACAGCGTGAGCAGGGGAGGGTCAGAGAGAGAGGGACACAGAATCCGAACCAGGCTCAGGCTCTGAGCTGTCAGCACAGAGCCCCACGTGGGGCTCGAACCCACGAAATGCAAGATCATGACCTGAGCTGAAGTCAGTTGTTCAACTGACTGAACCCCCCAGACGCCCCTCCGGGCACATTCTTAAGGGGCAATGCTGACATTGGGAGGTGCCTGGCAGAACTTGGTGGAGGCTCATGATTGTGTCTGAAAGAAACTTAAAGCAGGAGGGGGGCGCCTGAGGGACACGTGGGGCCTTCAAGGAGAACATGTCGGGGGGTTTGAACCTGAGAAAGTTATTAATGTTGGTGTTTGTGACTGGGAGTGCACGGGTTTGATCACAAATGCACAGGCCATGGGGGTGGACTGAAGTCTCCAGAGGCTTTTGGGGGAGACTGAGCACATTCCAGGAAGGTGGTGCTGATGAGTGAGTGAGGGGCCTCTGGGTGGGGCGATTGCTGGAGGGTCTTTTAGGCAGCATGGGTGGGAACCTTTGACAGAGGTACTAAGTCACACAGTCACTGATGATCTGTGGTGGTCACTGGCTGCCACAAGCCGTCCAAGGTGCCCAGGCGTCTTCTTCCAGGGTGTCCACTGTGCACACGTGCGCACATGTGTGTGTGCGTGCGTTACTCACGATGCCCACCTGCGTGTGTGTGTGTTGCTCATGATGCCCCCGTGTGTGTGTGTGTGTGTGTGTGTGTGTGTGTGTGTTGCTCACGACACACAACCTGCAGGACTTGGCTCCTGGACCCTTCCTTACCCTCCCCTCCCTCACTCCCTGCCTCCCCTCAGCCCTCAGGGAGAGAACATTCTTGTTTCCTGAGATGGTGAGTGAAAGAATGAATGAAGGCATCCACACTCTTGAATGGATGGATGGGTGGGTGGATGGATCAGGGCCCATAGTAACAGTGAATGAATGTATGACTGAATGAAGGTACAGAGGAACCAAATGAATGAATGAATGTGGGTGCACTGTGTCTGGAGATCACTGCTGGAGGCTGAGAGCCAGGAGCCAGTGGGGGGTCAGGAGGGGCCCTTCTGTGGGGTGCTGGGGGGCCGTGGAAACAGATCCTCGCGTGTTGGGGGATCACAGGATCCGGGAAAGACTGGGCTGTGGCAGGTCACCCGCCATATTGGATGATTGCTAGCAGGGAGTTGAGTGGGGCAGTCTTTGTCCCTGGGATATTCGGGGACAACTGGGTCATCCGCTCCTAGTTCTAGGTCTTCTGAGGGGGGGAGGGAGCACTGTTTGTGTGTGGCGTGGAACGTGAGCTGGAGACAGCAGTTCTCGTGGGCCGGGCCGGGCCAGGCGGGCCCTGGGAGGGCCCTGTGGCAACTGGGCCAGGCTGGGGATCTGAAGGGAGAGGAGAGGTGTGCTGTGTGCCCTGGGCAGGGTCAGCTGGAGATTGGAGAGTGCCGTGCTGGGCTGCTTCTGGTGACTCGAGCCAGCCAGTGGGCCTTGGTCCGCCAGCCCCTGCGGAGGGCCTGGTGAGAGCAGCTGCCACAGGGCTTGCCTTGGCCTCCGCCCAGACCCACACGCCGGCCCAGGCCGGTGTTTGCTCAGGACGCCCAAGGACATAGCCTCTGTCCTCACCGCCCACCCACCACTGGGCTCCAGGCCCGGCCCCCGGCGGGCCCCTCATACTTAGAAGCCAATGTCGGGCAGGGAGGCCGGGGCGACAGCAGACATGGAAAAGCTGACCAGGTGCTGAGGCCAGGTGGGCGTGAGCGGCTGCCCAGCCAACCAGGTGTGAGGGATGGCCCTGCGCCCAAGCTGCTAGAGGGGAGGGGACCCCAGGGTGACGAGCGACGGGCCCAGGAGCCAGGTCTCTGCCAAGGAGGATCAGCCCAGAGCCCCACAGGAGAGCACAGCCTTGGACAGGAGTGGGGCACAGGGCATGTGGGGCGCAGCTGTGGTGCCTGCTGACCCTGGAAGCCGGGGAGCCTCCCAGGCCTGGGAGGGTGCGTCATGGAGGGCAAAGGGGCCCCGGGGCAGGCCTGGCAGAGGGAGGCCTGGGGTACAGGCAGGGCTGGACACCCAGGTTCTGGAGCAGCAGACAGGCCTGGAGTCCCGCCTCAGCTGCTCTGAGGCCCTGGGTGAACCCCAGAGCCCAGAAGAGTCCCTTCCTGGGTGCGGGGGTGCTAGGAGCCTCCTTGAGGGTGCTGTGGCGGCACAGGGACAGAGGCTTTGTCTGGTAGCGGAGAGGCCTGCCCCGGCCATGCTGCGCCTCGCCTCGGTGCCCAGGCCCTGGTGCTTCATGCCTCGCCCTCTCTGGTCCCGCAGGCCTGATCTTCTCCGCCTACAGCGTCACGCTCCGGCCGCCAGACTCCTTCCTAGAGGGAGTGGCGAGGACAGGGCGATACACGTTTACTGCAGGTGAGCGACCTTGGCTTCTCCTGGGGGACCCTCCAGGCACTGGCCCCTGGGCCCTGACTCAGCCACGCCCCCACTGTCCGCCTAACAGCCGCCATCGGCGCCATATTTGGCCTCACCTCCTGCATCAGCGCCCAGGTCCGAGAGAAGCCCGACGACCCCCTGAACTACTTCATTGGAGGCTGTGCCGGAGGCCTGACCCTGGGAGCGCGCAGTGAGTGACCGCCCCGACCTCCGCTGACCACCACCCGCTGTTCTGTCCTGGACCAGGGGCCAGGCGTGTGGGCTGCTCTTGAGGGGGCGTGGGTGGCCCGAGGTCACCTGGGAACCGGCAGAGGTGCCTCCCGAGTGGGAAGGCAGGCCAGGCCCCATGCCAGCCTGGCACAGTGGGGCCGCCCAGGACAGGAAGCAGGCCGCGCTCTGTCCACCGCCCACAGCCCTGGCCCACCAGCCTGCCAGTGCTTGGTGGAATGTTCCAGTCAGGCAGAGGGAGGGCATTGGAAGGGAGGCCCTTGCATCCCAGCCTTTGCTTTAAGACCTCACGTCTGGGTTTGACGTGCACCCCCAGCCTGCCATGGGGGGGCGCCCCACATACAGCAAGCAGACCTCCATCCACTGCAGCGGCTCTCAGGCAGCCAGGGACATTCTGTGCACTTCCATTCACGGTCCGCGGAGCAGCTAGTGGGCCTGGCGCCTGCGGCCGGGCCACAGGCTGAGACTTGACCACCCGCCGTCCCCTCCGCAGCTCGGGTGCCCCACCCCCGGGCCCGGCAGCCTAGACCCCTTCTTGCTCTGGGTTCCGGGTTTCCGCACACGTCTTCCAAGTCCAGGGGTCCCGTGTCTTAACCCTCAAGGAGCCCTCAGCCTCAAGGGAAGGATGCGCTCTCGGGCCCCCGGGTGGCTGCGGGGGAGCCCCACGTGCGCCTGACACCGCCCCCTCCCCCCGACTCCGGCAGCCCACAGCTACGGGATCGGAGCCGCCGCCTGCGCATACATGGGCACGATCGCCGCGCTGGTCAAGATGGGCCAGCTGGAGGGCTGGAAGGTGTTCGCAGCGCCCAAGGTGTGAGCCCTGCCACCTCCCGTGTCCCCGGACAGGTTGAAATGCGACTAAAAATAAACTCTGCGTATACTTGTGTGTGAGTCTCCCACCCCTCCTCCCCTGGTGTCTGGGACGCAGCCCCATCCCAGGAGGGCTGGGCAACACTGACGCGCCAGCCGCCAGGCCCTAAACACAGGGCATCTGCGGGGGGGAAGCTGGGCACCGCCACCCACAGCCCTCCCTGTGCCGCCCTCCCCCCACCCGCACAGGTCACAGGCCGTCCCCTCTCTGGGCACCCCCCCAAAGCCAACAGCCTGTGGAGAACACACCCAGGGCCCACGCACGGCCTGACTCCAAATTCCTGGGCATTGGAGCGGAGCACCCCAGACGGTCTGGGCCAGGAGCCTTGTCTCTCTGTGACAGGTGGGTGACAGGCCACCGGGAGCCTGCGAAGCAGCAGGGATGAGGGAAGAGAATCCTGATCCTCGCCCGCCGCCACCGCCTGTCAGGCCCCATGATTGAGGCAGCTGCGGAATGCTGGCACGGCCCCGGCCCCCCGCTTTCCGCAGGCCTGGCTCCGGCCCCGTGTTTGCTGGCAGCTGGAAAGGGAGGCTTGCTCCAGCGTGCCAAGGTGGGCCATAAATTAGGGCTCTCGGAGCCCTACCCTGGGGAGTGGGGTTGCGCGTGGCCAGCAACTGGGGCCTGGCAGGGTCTGGGCACCAGAGGCGGCGGGAGCTGAGCCGACTCCCCCTCCTCGTGCATATCTGGCCTCATTGCTCCTCCTTTCTCTGCAGCCCACCCTGGTGCCCGCATGGTCAGAAGCCAGACTCAGGGCCTGGCTTTCCTCTGTCTGCTGCTGGTCCCTCATCACCCTGCAGCCACTCCGGGTCTCCCACCAGAGTGGGACCAGGTGCCAGCTCGGGGTCGCATCCGGGCCTGAGAAAGGCTGGAGATTCCCCCCACCCCTGGGGGCCAGGAGTGGGGTGGGCGCCTGCCAGGCCCTGAGAGGACTCTGGGATCCCAGACCCGCGTCAGAGTCCCAGCCCGCAGCTCTTTACTGGCTCTGTCCTCAACAGCAAGCGGGGACCACAGGGTCCCTCCCTCAGCAGTGTTCAGGAGGAGGGAAGCGCGCCTTCCGTGCCTTCCGCGGGGCACTAGCCCCAGTGTCCCTGCTGCGGCCAGCCCTCAGGCCACCTTCCTGTGCCTCCCCATTCATCCCGCCCACCACAGCCATCAGCACAGGGGCGATGCAGTAAGAGTAGTGGCCCTGGTGCTGCAGGCAGGGCCTGTGGTCACTGAGGGCCAGACCGAGGGAACCTGGTCAAGGCTGTACCTTTGGTGACTTCTCAGCCAGATCCGCCCAGGCCTCCCCTCCCTGTACATCCTGGCCCAGTCCCCTGGCTCTTTGTGAAGCCAGGCCTCCAAGGAAAAGGAAAGACTCCTAGCCCGCCAGTCCCTTCCTTCCTCCTAGCCTCAGTTTCCCCTTACAGTGAGCTCCGAGCAGGGCTGTGCTCGGCACCTACTCAGCCCTCTCTGGGCTGACCGCCAGCTTTGGAGCGGGCCTGCCAGGCCCCCCAGAACGGGGCAGGAGAGAGTGGCTGCCTGCTGGGCTCCAGGGAGCCCCCAAACCCAGACCCCCTTGCCCGTAAACATTTATGAGGCTGCAAGGGACTGACTTCATCCTGCCCCCCACACAGAGCCCACGGGGATGGCCCTTGTTTATAGCATCCAGACACCCCCCCACCCACCCACCTTTGCCTGGGACACCGCCTCCTGCCCCAGCAGCCCCCTGCTTGGGGCAGTGAAGGACCTTTCCAGAAAATGGCCCCCGCCCCCACCCTCACCCCCATCCTGAGCTTGATGAAGCCATTTTCAGCCCTGAGCAGTCTGGTCTGAAACCAGGAAGAACTCAGAAAGGGCCTGGGGGTGAGGGGGCGGAGGGAGGGTGTAAAGATCTAAAGATGAAGAGGTCTCTCTTGATATGAGCAAGAGGGAAGGGCGTCCAGCCTGACCTGCGGGACAGGGCGCGGCCAGTGACTGATCAGGGAGGGGGTCACGTTCCCCCCACAGCAGACCTCTGGGGCAGTGGGGCACACGCTCCCCAAAGACCCCGTCCCTAGGGACACACTGCCCAGTGGGGACAAGTCAGCAAGGGCTGCAGGCTCAGCTGGGGTCTGGGCGGGGGCGGGGTGGGGGGCAGTTGTAAGCCAAGAAGATGTGAGCAAGTAAAATGAGACCGAGTGCGGGAGCTTCTCCCAGCCGCCAGGAAGGCTCCCTTGTTGCTGGCAGCGGCCCTTGGAGGGGGCTGCTCTCGCTGGTCCTGTCTTACAGATGAGGAAACTGAGGCCCAGGGAGCAGGCACATGGCATTAGTTCTCTGGTTATTACTGAGCTATTGTTGGTCAGTGTGTCTCGGAAAGACTTCCCAAGCGGTCGTGGCTGGAAAGCAGTCTGGTGGGACAAGGCCAAGCCATCTCTAAAGCACCCCTCCCCCCACGGATTCCTTTAAAAAGCTATGTTGGATGCAGGCTGGGGGTGCCTTTTGGTCCAGGGTGGGACACACCAGGCTATCGAGAGGGGTCCGAGGGGCTCATCCTTGCTCCCTCTCACCCCTTTGTGAGTCCGTGGTCTTTTTTTTTTTTTTTTTTATCTTTTTTAATATATATTTATTTGTGGGGAGAGCCAGAGAGAGCAGGCTCTGCGCGGATGGGCTGACAGCAGTGAGCCCCATGCAGGGCTCGAACTCACAGACCAAGAGATCATGACCCGAGTTGAAGTCTGATGCCCAATCGACTGAGCCACCAGGTGCCCGAGTCTGAAGTCTTGAGATCTGCCCTGGATCTCCAGGGCCCCAAGCAGGGGCCAGCTCCCAACGCCGCCCTCGAGCGAGAGCGCAGTCTCCTACCCCCCACCCCCTGCAATCTGTCTTCCCGGAAGCAGCCACCAGAGGGTACCCGTGAGCATCTGGGTTCTGCCCTCTGTCCGCAGTCCTCCAGGGCTCCCCCTTCTCCCCCCTCTCTACCCCTCACTCGCTCTGCTCACATTCCTTCAACACGCCAGGCCCAGTGCTACCCCAGGGCCCTTGCACTGCTGTGTCGTCCGCCTGGAACACTCTTCCCCCTCATGTCCCCACAGCCACCCCTCGCCTCCTTCAGTTCTCAGCTCAAACGTTACCTCCTCGCTGAGGCCTCCCCAAATCCCCACACACACTTTACCCTGGTCTAGTTTTTGCCCACAGCACTTTGCAGCTTCTCGTCCCCACGTCGCCACCAGCATTGCATGATTGTTTCATGGACCATGTGTCCCCTGGAGGGAATCACCTGGCTGTCATGCCCTTGGGTCAACAACCAGCCTAGGAACACAGCAGGGCTCCCTGAGTATGTGGCCCAGCCCCCACTTCCTGAGTGCCAGCCCTGGGCAGGGTCCCGATCCCGACATCCCCGGCTGATGGCGGCCGGGGGAGGGGAGGGAAGAGAAACCATCCCCAAACCTCAAGTCAAGACTCGGAATTCACTTGCAAGTATTGACAGAGAACCTACATGTGCCAGGCAGGGTCTCAGGCCTGGGGAGTACGGGGGTCACATCAGCCAACAAGACCAACGATTCACTCTCTGCCAGGGCCCAAAGTCTGATCTTAAAGGGAAAAATAGTAAAACAGCAGTTTTTTTAAATGAGCAAATAGGTAAACAGACAAGAACATTGTACCTAGAACTGTGCTCCAGAGAGAAAACATGCTGACCCAAAAGATGGGATGGGGGTTCTCTTAGCTGGAAGGGGTGCTCAGGGAGCTCCCAGAAGACAGCAGCCTTGGGGTGCTGTGGAGGAAGGGTGTTCCAGGCAGAGGGAACAGAGAGGATGAAGGTCCTGAGGCTGGGCCCAGTCTGGTGCACCGCCCCAGTAACAGCGAGGAGGCCACGTGGTGGGGCGGGGGCCACCCTGGGATCACTGTGAAGGAGGGCAGGGGCCAAGGTCAGGTCACGTCTCCCAGGTGTTCACAGCAAGTCAGGGAAGAGTTTGCGTCCGGGGGTGCTGCCTGTTGGGGTGCCAGGAAATCCATCCTAGCACTTCCCGTGTCCTGGCAAAGACTCCCAGAGCCCCCACTCCGCCCATCTGAACACCCCCAAAAGGGCTGCCCTGGGAGGGAGCCTGACCCCTGAAGGCTGTGCCCACCAGGGCCCTCATCATGGAGGGGCAGGTGGGGATCTTCTGGCCGGGTTCTGGTGGGGAGCCTCAGCCCAGTGTCTGAAGCCAGATCAGTCCCCTCACTTAAGGGGTTTGGAAGTGAGGGGCAGAGCTTGGTCTCCCCAAACCCCTGTCTGGCTTGACATCCAGAGCTTGGAACACAGGAGAGCCCCCAGTTCTGTGGATACAAGGCAGCTGCAGCCAAATGGCTTTGCCAGTTGGGAAACTGAGGCACGGAATAGTCACCGCCCCCCGGGACCTCTGGTAGTTCTGCAGTTACCCCTCACCCTTTAGCTTGGTCCTCCTTGGATCTGGGCGGCCCCCAGCCCCATGTGGGGTCCCTCCTCAGAGCCAGCCAAGCCACCTGGGGGCTTCACAGAAGGCTGGGTGGTCGGCCCCAGCCCAGCCCCTCTCTCCCCTCCAGGAGCCCCCGCTGGGCTCTGAGCACTCTCTGAACCAGAGCAGGCAAGGTGTGAGCCAGGGCAAGGGCAAGGCTCCGGGGACCCGAGAGGCAGGCGGGAGGGGAGAGACCCCATGGCCTGGCCTAAAATTCTCCCTCCTTTCTGAAAAACCCATCCAAATGCTTTTATTTTACCATTCCCCTCCCCCCCTCCACAAACACACACGACAGCCTTGCTAAAACATATTTTACAGTTTCTTTTTTTCAATAGGTGAAACCGACACAGACCACAGAATTTACAGTATGCCAAAGGGTGTTCCAAAAAAATACCTCTCTCCCCAGCCACCCCCCCACCCTGCAGCGCTCCCCAGAGGCCGCAAGCCCCGTGTCTGGTTTCTCCTTCCAGCAATGTTCCAGGCCGAGGCAAACACATCTGTATATTTTCTTTTCCTCCCCCATAAAGTATATCGCACTGCCCCCGCTGCTTCATAGTCCTGAGTGTGGATTCCTGGCAA